CGAGGTATTCAGTTGAGTCTCTCGTGAAAACCAAAGTGAGTTGCAAGTGAGTGCATTTCTAGAAAAACAAATCATGTTAGGCTCTTTCAGCTTTGAAATAGATATCTATCGATCTGAAACCTCGTATATGTGTCATTCAAAGTCAGCATGTTATCTGCCTCACTCTGGTTGACCTTGATGTCCGCAGTCAGAAGTGAGCAGAACTCTGCTTGCCAACACACGAATCCCGCACGGCATTGGTCCATTGAATTCTCGCTTTCCACGTCTAATTTCGTCCTTGGAACCTGCTGCTTTTGAAATCACAGAGCTGGATATCGTTGGGTTTCCACTTCTCTGTGGTTTGTTCGGCATTGCCCAATCAAATTTTGACGATCATATCGTTTGTCGATGCCTGTGGCTCCTGTGCTATAACTCAGCTATCACCGAAATTGTCGACAATAGGCACAACAGACATTAGGGCCTGATAAAGTGGTCATTTAGGACCCTACGAATTGCGCATAGGATACGAGATGCCTGAGATGCCGCTTATCAGAAAAGTCCGAATTCAAAGCTCTCCTTTATTGATGGTGTCTCCCTCTGGGAGAACTTCGTGGATTCGGATAGTGCGATTGTCCGTTCGGTATCTCCACTGCACTTTTCGGTATGCGCGAAATACGTTCATAACCTGGGGAGGGGACAGCCAAATTTCAGCTGAAAAGAGGTTTTGTGAACCTCATCTTCAGACTCTGCTGAGTGCTGGTGAGACGTACAAAATTTCCATAATCTCGAGAACATGCCTGTGTCATCTGATGTCATCTTCCGAACGCGCTCCCGATTTGTCAACTCTGTTTGTACATCGTGTTCGCAAGCTCTTGGGAAGCAGTAGTTTCCAAGAGAGACACATTCGAGAAATGCACTCATTTGCAAATCAATTTAGTTTTCACGAGAGACTCAACTGAATCTCTCGTTTAGGCTAGTCTACAACTGAACGTGCTGCACACAGGCCGCCTCATGTTTCAGTACGATATTCGAGATATCGCAGTATATTTTTATAAAGGAGACTACTCTTCGACAGCCCACGACCGGTTTCGTCCTTCTTGGGGCTCATCAGGTAGGCGCAGTCTCTGAGTTTTCGGAACCTTGTGAGTAGTTTCCTTTAACAGAGGCATTGAGTTTCCATATTCTCGTTTAACATTGCGATTGGCGATTGTGGAACTTGGGCACCTTTGTGTCCCAGTTATGACCGGTTGAAACCCCCCATACAGGTGTTTTCGGGAATTCTGACCACAAGACGTAGTTTCTGACCAAGATTTGTCGCACATGGTCACCAGCATTAATAGTAATTCCATACATCTGATAGGCTTTTTTAAATCATCATTTTCCTTGGCGATTATATGCGTCGGAATCGAGTAGCAATCACACGCAAAGGACCACGCGCAACGCAGGTATTTCGTTCGGCCAAAAGGAGATGATTGGAGTCGCCAGGATCCCTTAAGAGCAGCGTTACACCACCATCTTCGTGACCACTGTGTGTGAATGTATCGCAGCACTTGGCCGGAGAATAGCGCCTCAGGGAACGCCTTTGGCAAGTCGTTTAAGCCCAATACGAATAAAAAAAATCGGGTTACAGGCCGGTTGCAAGCAAACATGACAAAATTCATGGCATCGTTGAATTCACGATGTTCTTCCCCATTCGGTATCTGTCAACAGTGCCACAATCAGCTCAAAAATACCATTCGACAAATCCTAGTTGGAAAAGCCGAATATGGACTATCAGTTTTGTCGGTTACTCTTGGAGTTTGCCGTTCGAAGATTCAATAACCCGTTAGACAACGCACAGGATTTCCAAGTTAGCTGCTAAATTGCCCTCTACAACCAGAATCGACCAAGGCCAGCTGTCGTGACTTCGATTTTCGGTGCACTCTGGCACCTGCATATTACAAGCGATGGGGATGAAATTTCCTTTGCGAATTTTTACCATTTTAGGATGAAATGTCACAGAATATATCACCCTACCGACTAGATGGTTTCTGAGATAAAGACCACGGTCTTAAATAAATAAATAAATAATTTGATTTAAATACTTCCCACTGGCTCACGAAAAATAAGTCATCAAATACAGTCAGTCACAGAATGTCTGCCTTGGCATGTTCCACTCACCTTGTTGGACCAATCCAATTCACGCAAAAGATTTAACCAACAATTAGTTCTAAATATTGCAATCCGATTTCTTCCATCGGGAGGAGTGTGTCACGTGTGCTTGACTAGAGGTGATTTGAGATAACACGAGATGAGTTTACTGTGGGCCAATCAACCAAAGCAATCACTGTATGGAGCCTGAAAAGTGCATGTTTGTGACAATACAAGCAGAGTTAAGGGAACCGGGGGAGGAGAGGCATAGAAAAAGGTCATTGCCGCTGCATGAAGAAAGCACGAGCGCTGAGATTCAGTAAGGTTACAAGTGTAACCGAAAAGCCAGGTTTGGGCTCGAACCACGGACCTTCTGGTAGGCAGTTTCGCGCCTGAACTGTCGGAAGGTTTTGAGCACAAACCGACGCCACATGAGATTCTCGTGGTTAGCGACAGACCTTCCATTAGCCTTTCTTATATTTTGTTCCAGTAATAAAAAATCAAGAACTTTTGTAACTGGGAGCACAATATATTGTTACGAGGCTTACAACTGATGCTTTGTATTGCAAACGTATGAAGATGCTCAACTCGGTTTACATCAGGATCCAACACAAGAGACAAGGTAGTGAGCTGGGAGTTTTGACAAGTACCATTCATAAAGAGTATGCGACCGGTGCGCTCACATTTTGATCTCGGCACTCCATGGTCACCGACGTGAGTGAGTGACTAGTGTTCACGCCTGATTCCGACTGGTTGGCAAACGGACAATATCCACCTAATGCGAGCTAATCGGAGCAAGACGCGAATTTGATTTATGATTTCACCGATTCGCTCAGCTGTAGCATCTTTTGGGTACCTAACTTCCATGCCAGGTTGCCCAGGCCTAGACAGGGAAAGTCGAGAGGCAGATGTCAGGTTCGAACCACGGACCTTCCGGTCAGTAAATTCGCGCTCTAACCATTTGGGCCATCTCGCCCCAATTTGATCAATTTAACATTTCCCACTATGGATAAAAGATTATTTTCAACCAAATTAGCTACTATAATTAAATCGGAAAAGCAGCCATTAGGAAAAGGACAGTGTTGTCAATTTTCCACCGGAATTTCGAATTTCAGCGACCTAAGCAACACGTTTGGTGTGCGTCGGTTTACTTATTAAGATGAACGATCTGGGACATTTAAACAGACCGGGCAACCTTCCATTCGCCATTCCACTTCAGCCGAGTTGTGCTTGTTTTCTGTCTGAGACAGACAAAACAGTGGGAAAATTTAGCATTCATCATTCCATCCCGTAAAAATGGCATCAAAAACCCAGTTCATTAATCTATCTTATGAAGATGGTGATGATGGCGTCGGGAAACACGGATTAATCAAGCCGCACGCGTGTCCATACGCACAACTGCACAGCGACGGGACGAGAGAAACGTCCCCAAAGTACGCCACATCCATCTGTACACGGAAGAATACGAACGCACATTGCAGAGCATCATCTGGTTGACTGGGATATCCCTCTCCCCGTATATACTTGCACTGGTCACAGACTTGTACGAAAACCCATATTTACGCACCTACAGCGATGGGAGAAACGAAGCCACAAATGACTGGGGGATCAACAAGCGAGTGCATCCAGTTGGTCATAGGGTGACCAGTGAGCTTCATTCACCTGAGCTAGGTCCCGTTCTACTCGGTTTGGATATCTATCTATCAGCTCGTCCGTGTGTGGATAAATTATTTTTCGCTGAAGTTATCAACCAATTTTTAATCTGATAGAAAGTGTTGCCACATACACGCGGATAGGGAGGATGGACGGTGTATGTGCACGTGTGTGTGTGTGTGTGTGTGTGTGTGTGTGTGTGTGTGTGTGTGTGTGTGTGTGTGTGTGTGTGTGTGTGTGTGTGTGTGTGTGTGTGTGTGTGTGTGTGTGTGTGTGTGTGTGTGTGTGTGTGTGTGTGTGTGTGTGTGTGTGTGTGTGTGTGTGTGTGTGTGTGTGTGCCCAAAGGCGGTCTGAAAGCAAAATTAATTAACATTTGATGCGAAGGTGAGCAGAACCGGTGAAAGGAGATTGATTTTGGTCCGGCCGAGAGGGGATGGGGGTGGGAAGTTAGAGATTCTCGGTCAATCCTGTACGGTAGCTTGCACAACTCATCACCATAGAGATGAAAGGCTGCAAGCTAGCAATGAGAGGCAATCACCATGGTAGTGACAGCAACAGAGTTGCTGCAGACCACAATAATTCAGTGGGTTAATCCCTCCTCCGTGACGGGAATAATGAGAGAAAACTGTTCGAAATGAGGAATATTCCAAACGGTTGTCGAGCAAGGTCGTCCATTTGTTCGAGTCGTAACCGTAAAAGTCATGACTTGAGGGAAGTTTTACTGTTGCCGGAAAAGAATCAACACACATTGAAAACAGGTTGAAAAGAGTCATTCAACCAGGTCACATGACGTGATACGAGCAGAGCAGGAAGTTGACATCAAGCAATATGCACCCCTAGCCCCTAGATCTTAAATGCATCCCTAGACTCAAGTTCAAGGTACTTCAGAAACCTATGGAATCTCCCTCTAACACACAAGAAGCCGATGGTTGCGTACTGGCACAAAAACTCGACAGTCGCCCTTTTGGCTCGCGTCGGATCTCAGGATAACTGGACACGCAGACCTACTGACATCGATAAACTAACTATTGCCCTGTAGTTGAGCCGTGATTCATCTGCCAACACCTCCAAGTTATGCAAGTGGCCAATCAAAGAAGCTCTCAAACACATGAATGCACGGTACACCCTACTCTCAGTCCGACCAGCTCTTACTATCTGATACGGAACGAGCATCTCAGAACTGTCCATATGAAAGGACAAAATCGTGCTACTTAAAAGTTAAAACTAGGTAGTGCATCTCCCCAACAACATCTGAGACGGATGGCCTGGAAGGATCACCATCTTGATGCGTCTTGAACGTGATTTTTAGCTTACAACTTGTGCTGAAATGGAGTTATGAAGGCAGCTGAAAACCCCACTTTCGGAGCGAGTCAGTAGGGATTGTTACTCCTAAACTGATCACATGAGGACTAGGGAAATTTGGGTGATTCCCGTGCCGAAAGTTACGTTGGACAAACGGATGGTCGCCCAGCTCCAGTGTGTCATCAAATGGGATGATGTGACTGGCCTAATGAAGTATAGCCTCGACACAACGGACCCCAAGAGTTTCTTCGACTTCTCAGACAGTATTCTCAAATTTCCGTCACTATGCTGTCCATATCTCCAAATCCGTCATCTAAACTGAGTCTTCATCGCCACACAGGTCACCTGATTCAGTATGAATAACTGCTATTGCATCCCGACCACCGTGTTTACATTAGTACTATTTTTCTTAAATTTTGTAATTTATTTGCGTCAATAGCTGGTGCCAACAAACGCCGAAAAGTGGGTCCAAGGAGTGGTCCACTCCTACAACCTTTGAGTTTTCATAGGCAATTCCATGGTATATTTTCAACAAGCGTAAAAATGTTGTGCCCGGACTGTGGTCACATGAGAGGGATTAATAAGCTCATTCATTTCACACTTGAGCGGTTCTCCTTGTGGGCTTGTTCAACGCCCCAATTGTTTTTTAAAGAGATTCCACACTACACGTGAAGCTGAAAAGTCGAGAGGCACCGCATAGCTGTTTCATCGTCGGCAGTGCGCACATGACGAAACTTCAAGAAGCCTTGAACCAGCGACCTCCTGACCAGTAGTTGGAACACCGGCCATGAGCGGTTGATCAGCACTGTGATTAACTCGCACTTAGACAGGATCATGGCTCTCCCCATTGAAATATCACCACACATGAGGAGGAATTAGTAGGTTACGAAAAAGTAAGATGATGAAAATGTTTGTGATTAAAAAAAACAGTCCATCTGTAGCACCCTTTCAGTGCCTAACTGCCATGCCACCCGAAAGAAGCATGAGGGCTGGGATACAACCAGGTTGCCCAAGCCTAGACAGGGGAAGTCGAGAGGCAGAGGTCGGGTTCGAACCACGGACCTTCCGGTCAGTAAATTCTAACGGCGGAGCCATCTCGCCCCCTTGTGATTACTAGTCCAACAGTTGGCCATGAGGTAAACAAGCCAAGTGTGAACTAATCTATCAGCAAACAGCGGTCAGTGGTTTTAGCGACTGACCACTCACACAGACAGTCATGATTACAAATCTCTCTCTAACGATATTTGAGATGAACATTACTGGTAATTCTCAACAATGACGAAGCAGCTGCGTAGTGGCCTTTGAATTTTTGGCGCAAACTGACTTCACTTGCAGGATTTGGATTGATTTGAGGATGGATTCTGACTTGAGTTCACCAATCCCTCGTACTCCAGAAAGATTTCCCGCCTTTGAGCTTTCTCCTTCCGACTGTAAATCCCACATTTAATTCTCTTCAGAAACTGAGCTCTGATTTTATTACTGATACATACATTGAAACAAATGGGTGCACTAGGGGATCTTGTCGAGTAGGGCATCATTGAACGGAAGTGCGAGCGAACTGTGAGATATTACATAACGGTCTTAATATACGGTGTACGGGACAGACAGCCCGTTGGTTAAGGCGCGAAATTGTCGACCGAAAGGTTTGTGGTTTGGACCCAAACTCCGCATCTCGAATGATCTCGTCCAGGTTCGGACAACCTGATAGTACCTCAAGCCTCGTGCTTCCTTTGGGTGACATGTCAGCTAAGCCCCAAAGTGGGGTTACAGCCGAACGACATATACAGCACAACCTCCAGTGCCCTTAAACTCATGAAACGAAGCCATCAGGGACGAAATGCTCCGGGGTTTCGCCCTAAATACTGATTTCTTTGCAAGTCGATCAGTAGCTCTAAATGCGATGGCTGTGAACTTCAAGGAGCTGTGTTGTAAAAAGAAGATATGATATACTAAAGTTTTTGTGTGTGAAGAATTATCATAACGGCTAACTCAGTGTTAACAACGCTGATCCGAGCTGAGTAAGGTCGTCCCGCTGGGGCACTCTGTCGCTGCACGACGGTCGTGCAGCTCAAAGAGGGCACAAAGATTGAGGCATTGCCATATTGCCCAAGTCTAGACAAGAGCAGCCAGAAAGCCCGGGTTCGAACTATGAACCATCAGGTTAGTAGTTTTGGTATGTTGGCCGCTGAGCCATCTCAAGGTCGTTAAATAGCGCTAATCCATATGTGGTCAGCATGCATTGGATAAAATGCTCGCTTCGTATTGCTGTCAGGTGGAATTCGATTCGCGGGAGGGTATGCTCAACAGTAGACATATATTCCGAAGCACGACGCAAATTCGAAAGTCACGTTTAGAGAGTGGATATAGGCGGAGCGGATGGACCACGCGGAGGGGGGGGGCTTGGGAGCAAAGCGTAAACCTGAAATTTCGTGAGCAAGCGAGTGGATAACAAATTGTTTGTTGATCAATGATGTACGGTAACAAGCCGTTATTGAAGCACTGGCGATGCGAATATCGCACCCGACCTTTTAAGGCCGTCAATTAAAGTCTACCCAAGAGAGTGTTGCGATTGCTACCCCCTCTGCTTCATGGTTTGGCCATATTGGGCGAAAAACCGCATCACGAGGCTCACAACCCAATACTCAATTCACGAAAATGAGCGATATCAGAATAAAATACAAATATATTGCAGACAGAAATGATAAAATGAATTATCTGCGTGCGACTGAAAACAAATATGACAGATTCACAGGAATATTGGACTGAGACCTCGAGTTCTGTGAAAAAAAGAGGAAGATATAGGCGGGTAAAACCAAAACGATCAAACGCGTCCATTTACTCAGTCAACAAGTTGAATTTTCGGACACGGATGTTCCATGATCAAATCGAAATGAGAAATAATTCGTCAAATTGAATAATGACAATACAAAAATCCCTCAAGAGAGACTCTTCGAAAAGGGATCATCCCTTTGAAGATGCCAAAGTTCCGTACCAATTTAACAAGGATCAGATGTGAAATCCCCTCCCCCTCGAGAAAAAAGCCACCAAACCAGTTCTCAGGTTGGATTATGGCACACGTCCAAACAACCAAAAGCAATCCCTAAGCACACAAAACAAACACTACACTGGAGAAGTTCGCACGAACGATGCCCATTTGACCGGATTCTTACAGGGAACAACAGCTAGCTGACTGTGATTAATCTCCCCACAATCATAAACAGGAAGATCAGAACAGAAAAATTGAATTAAAAGAACGCGCGCTCGCAAAATGAAAACAAAGATCAGCCTGTGTCGGTGACCCAGGAAGACAGGAAGCTAGAAACCCGGGAATAGTCACAATTTCGGGTGGCCGCGGTGCAGCTTATTTCGTTGTCCGACTACTCAAACGGTTGTCAGTAGCCACATTTTAGTGACGCACAGGAAAAGCCACAGGGCGAGAATCCATTTGACGGTTAGCACAACCACCTATCAAGTGCGTATGTCCCTCCACATCCGCTTATCCATACATACTCCGACGGCAGTACACTAAACCATGGGTTGATGTGGGGGTTGAACGTGTCAGGCACCCCAAAGCAAATATCTCAGTAAAAACTGTTTGTTTTCGCTTGAATTCGTGTGCTCATCACTAAACTAGAGACAAAGTTAAATGTGACCACGCAGAGCCCATACACCTGTAACGCCCATGGCGAGAATTTCAGGCTCCCGAGGAAAGTGACGCTAGGCACATGAATAAAATAGAGTTTGAGACGACAAAAGGCGACAGTAACAGCAGAAAAGGCAAAACAAGATATTTGCCATCACTGTTCCGTTTACCTGTCGAAGACCCGCAGGAAGTTGTATAAACTTTATTGATATTTTACGAAAGTTTGAAAAAAAAACTCTGGTTGCCAGGGCTTTTCGTGACCATTTTTTGACAAAATTGAAAGTTGGTGATAAGCGGCTTTTTTCAGTTCTTGAACCTCCAAAAAAAACTGGCAAGCAGACTTAAACAGAAAGAACTAAAACCTGGGTTTTGAGGTTAAAAACGATTAATTAATTACTTAATTAGAACACTAAAATCATTTGCCTTACAAGACATAAAGGGAGACGAAGCTTTATGGCCTCTGTGGCTGTAGCTCTTCGTTGTGGAAGAGTAGAGATGCCTCTTTTGAAAGTGGTCTTTTTTTAGAGAGGACTTGTAGCCACCCGGTCACCCACATACTTGACTGTTCAGCTCACAGTCGCTCACTGGATCACGAGACTTGTCTTTTTTCATACTCGCAAACTACGTCACATTAAGGTGACTCATCGGACATCGACTTTCTGTACCGTCTAGTGAGCGTAGCAACTACTCATGTGCTGACGCGCCCACGTAGACGCAAACGGACCTACATATAGGGAAACCGAACACAGTCAGCACACACAGACTCACGCGCACGATCAGGGAGCAGGAAGTCAACTACTCTCCACAAGTCCACAAACAGCTATGGAGCACTGTGGAGAAAACACGTCGCCGCCGTTCGAGCTTTCATCAAGAAACTCTCACAGACGATAAGTCCCTCTTTTGACTTGCTCCACATTTTATATTGCCTTTATTTTATACATGCTGCAAATCGCTTCTGTAAACTACTGTCAACCACTGTTATTAGTGTACATACAACTTCTGATTTGTATTATGGCTATCAACACCTGTGCACCAATAGACTACTGTGACCGTTAAGACCTCACTCATCTGTTGAGTCCACAACAGGGTTCCCGCTAACCATGATTTAGTGTGCCGTGCTTGATCCTCTCGAATGGTAAGCTCTCTTTGAATTAGTGGTGATGCACACAAGTAGAACATCACAACTGTACACAGAAAACGCACGATGGGCTAAAATACTCACAGATACACACGATGGGATAAAGGCGAATGTTGTAAAGGTATAAAGACGCCAAGCAAAATAAAACGTTCCATTACCTTCTTTGATTCAGTAAGCTCCGGTATCGAGCCACAAAACGCTGAATTTGAGAAAAAAAAGATAAAACGGCATGCTGAGCTGACAACGAGGCGCGCGATCGATAAAAGACTAGAAAACAAGCCCGCCTCTGTACATCTAAGTAGGTCGCGGTACGACGGACTCTGTCGCCTCAGTGGCTTTTCATATCGTAAGGTCTTAGTGATGCAGTACACCGGTATCAAGGAAACATTTTAAGGAGAGTTCAAAATGGCTTCCCGACGGGGATACCCTCCCATGAGTGTGTGTGGTCAAGATACGTTATATCACATGCCTTCTGAGCCAGATCAGTGGAGCAGTGTTCAGCAGCTTTCTTGAGAATGAACACTTCGCATAGTCACCGCACACAGAAAACCAGTTCAATATGATGACCATCTAACAGCCAGGCCACTAAGCACAACAAGTTAGTTTCTTCAACACAACGAAACAAGATGGGTGTTAAAAACCACAGCAGTGAGCTACGATTGGTTGATTCATCCTATCCTACAGCTGTATTGCGTTGCATTTCAATGGTGGACTGTTATGACAACAACCGGCTTGCTTGAGTACAATCAGTCCACGAGGCTACACCACGTGACGAGTTTGTGTATCAGTCTTTCTATGGCATAAATCCATTGAAGGGGTGGGCAACTAACGGATCCGGGTTGATAGAACACTGGTAAAATTGTGATATCTTCTGAAGAGTGAAATGATCGCTTGAAGTAGATTAAACGGTCAAGCGTTTGACATCCCTATGAGCCACGGTCGGAAATACGAAGGTGAGCCCCAGCAAGGGTGAGACAGACTGTGACTCTTTGTCGAAGGCCAACACGAAGTCTATGAAAGTATGATACTGGGGGAAGCGTCTCTCATGTCAGTAAACAAAAGTTAGCACAAAGGCGGTACTTTTGCTGGACAAGAATCCACAGGGTAAGAACATCATCAAAAACAGACGCAGTGGTTTTGTTGGAGCTATTCTTACGCGAGTGGAGTAAAGTAAAAAGAGGAAAAGAGCTGCCCGACCGTTTTCTTGTTTTTGTTCGGAATCATCAGCACTGCGTAGCGTACGAATCGCTAGGGTGATTCGAACTCGCTTTTGTCCTCAATAGTTGGGTGGCATGTCGGTCAGCCAAGAGCGCTTGACCGGTAACGTGACTACCCTTACTCACGCGGTCTGGAGTCGACTGGTTCTATGGGGCACGATTTCTAAGGCTGAAGGTCTACGCTCCCTGCTGGATCTTTGCAGTTCCTGAACAGATAACTTAAATTTTGTAGGAGGTTTTGAAGAGTTCCAGTCGAGATTCCACTCTACAGGTTAAGTAAATCCGTGTTGAAGAGTCAAAACACGGAGTTTCGCTTCTCTTGGGCATCATCAGTAGTGCGTGTCTCGCAAATCGGTCGAGAGATCCAAACAGTTGTCTCACTGCAGAGATAGCTGCCCAAGAAGGAACACTTTTAACTAGACCCTCCAACAGGTTTCTTCAGAGGAAAAGTTTTATGCCTTCCGTGGGGGAGACTACTTTTGGACTGTCCCTTCAGCCGGTCTGTTTGAAGGGCTCTTTGTGAAACTCAAAACGTTCGACATATTTGATTAATCAAGTCAAAAAACGGCTTCAGATTCGGGAAATTTAGAGTAAAACTAGGGTTTAAACGCATTTTTTGGACGCCAGTGCACTATTTTTGCGAACTTTTGTAGTTGAATTGTGTACTCTAAACCGTCAAGGAGTGAAACAGCAAATTGTAATCGGCCAACAGGTTTCGTCCGGTAGCAATTCAGGAAGACTAAATGAATTGGGACAACAAGACGGAATCCGATACACAGCCACAATTGACGATACTACACAGTTCATCAAGAAAGTAAAAGAGCTATGGTATTGTTTGTGACACTGTATCAACCAGAGATGATGCGCGAGAAAAAAACCGGCTACGGAAGCTTTCGTTGTTGTTTGCTCGAAGTTAGGCGCTGCTAGGGCCGGGAAGCCTAACGCGCACAAAATTGGTCAAAAGTTCTGGCCGCTTGCCGGTCCGGCAGTAAGGTGAGCTCTGATTGGTCGAAAGCCTGGACCCAACAGCCAATCGTGACCCAGTATTCACCGGATGCCGGTTGCCAATAGAGCATCCAGAAGGCGTTTGAATTTCCAGAAGGTTGTCGGGGCATACACTTTATATACGTCGTGCTGTACGTGTTTTTGGACCCAGTTTTGGTTGTGAATATACGATGTGCATCTTTGGCAGTTGTTTCTGACGGGAACGCTAGCAAGGGAGGTTCAAACCTAAGCTCAGGAAAATATCGTTATTACAAAACGGCAATCAAACCTTACTCTAGCCTCAGCTACGCCAAGACTAACCTCGTAGGAGAGGGTGGGATGTCCAGGAGATTCGTCCACACTGAGATCCTCCACGTTTGAAGGGACTTCAATGGGCGCAATGTCATTTTGTGTGTCTGAAACGGGGCCATAAAAACGTAGAACGAGGACAAGAGGTAGGGTTGAATAAATACATGATTAAAACACGTTTCCTAGAGCGAAAGACATTTCCGCTTAGCGGCGTGTGTATTCAATTTTTCATCAGTCATCTTATGTTCCCTCTATCAGCTGAAAACAGGCCCAGATGACTAGACATATCCTGGCATGTTTCAGCGCGACTTCTGTTATTGTTATGTCCCTGGCGTTACCGATTACCAAGACCTCCCTGTTCACGCCACACAACAAGAACCAGAAGTCGGCAGACAGAAGCGTCAGTGTAGACACTAGTGCTTCACTGCCGTACAACAACACAAGGTTCAGTTAATTCTATTCAAAGCCTCAAAGTGAAAATAAAAGAGTGGATGAGGGAGGGGAGTTGGCAACGTGTCACAATGTTGGTAGCTTGGCTGTTGATCTTTTTGCCAAGGTTGACAATCAATCTGAAAAAAGTAATGTCACCAAAAGAGGAGACATCATCATTACATCACGACGATCTCACTACTTAATGAGGGGAACCAACGATTGCGGCAGTTGGGTCAAAGATTATGCATCCTGACAGCTTTAAACGATGAGTACCAACCATTATTTGAACCTAGTGAACTGAAATTGAGGTCCTATGTTTCCATGGGACGGCCACCTCTGTTGCTAAAGTATGGCGGATGAGCTTGGAACGGCTTCATCCGCACTCATCGTTAAGTCTGCATGCCGTTTGATCTAGCTTAAGTGGTGTGTGTGTGTGTCTGGTCACACCCTAGGACGACATGCGTGTACTTCGTATCGCCTAAACCAGTTGAACCCGTGCACTGTCGTACCTGAGCGAGAGGGGAGAGAAGCATTGATGGCTCTCGATGCAGCGATATGCATTGTACGCAGGTGCGTATGTGCGCATGGCGTTGAGGGCCGGAGGACGTAAACGAACCGCCTGAACCTGGCGGGAGCGCGCAAAACGTGACATTTAAGGTGCGGTTTCCGTCGATAGGCAGGCATCATTCCAAGGAACCCAAACATACGGGAGATAACGCTCCCAAGTTTTTAACAGCCAATAAAAACGCGCAAAACATTGTCAAGAGCGAGGAAGTGTGATTTCCGGCAGTCCCAGAAAGGCTCTTATACGGGGTTGAAGACGCTCAAATGAAGATCACGCTGACATGAATACACACAGATCACGTGATACATGGCGCATGAAATGCTATGGATTTGTCGGACATTCTGGGACAGGCTAATTTGAAGTGCTGACGATCGAATCTGTTATTTTATACAACACATATCCGGATTGGGACTCGAACCCAGTCAAATCAGTTCGTCGCAAAAAACATGACCGTCGTATGCGACATTCTTTTGAGACCATCCCACGGCAAATGATTGAAACAAACAGACGGTCAACGAGCGTCATTATCGCTAACTCGAGAATATCTCTTGTGCCTACGGGTTGGGTGAACAGTTTTAAATCATTGGTTGGCTTCAAGGTCAAACTCAATAAACTCTTGGTCCATGCATTAAAGACGTTAGTATCAACCAGTTTTCAAGTAAACCCGAAGTGCAACGTGCAAAGCTATATTGAATGAGCTTGTGTAAGCTCGAACATGGCATGTGAAGTCTCAGGACTTCCGAGCAAGAGATGCTCACAGTTTTACCACTGATCTAACCAGACGAGTGTCTCAAAGTCACAGGGTTGGATTTTTGCCCGTGACCTAAGGGGACAATGCCCAGCTTGCGCGGCATATCTAAAGTACACAAAGGTGAGGAAGGATTCTTGGACGAACTGCGGCCATCTTCGAGAGAGATAATCAACTGGGTCAAGAACGACATCACCTGGAATTTTAAGGTGGTGACAGAGAAGAGCTTAATTTAAACGGTTCTGTTGGTTTAACACAAAAAAGCCAGGTTTCAACAGTTGAGCTCACTACGGTAGTTGGTTGACAGTTTCTGGAGCGATTTTCACACATACGAAGAACAAGTTAGGTTTTGAAATGGAAGCAGATATTTTTAGACTTCCCCCTTCCTTTGACCGCATCATCAGGATGCGGCTAGGTAACACCAAGACCTTTGGTATGAATTCACATCGGACCGAAAACTTCCTAGATCTACTCGCGAGAGGGGGTCTATGTGGACTAATTTCATGAACTAAGGTCTACCATTCTCGGTAAGTGGCAAAAGTATATGAAATTCGAGAAGAAGCATCCTGGAAAGGTGTTTTTTGGACAAAACTGATGAATATCGACGCATTTTGCGGTTACACGATTGCTCCGATAAATGGCATTTTGCTCTTCTCGCGATAAATTGACTGAACTACGTCCACGATCGTTAGGTAGGATAGGTGGAATTCACACTCAGGTCACTCTCGTTTGTACAGTCATTCTCCAGACTTGGCGCAACTACTCTGTTAGGTTCACATCAAATGAGAAAAGCACCGGACTCGAGTTTCTCTCGTACTAGAACGAGATGGATCAAGTAGTTAGAGTGCGAATTTACTGACCGGGAGGTACGTGGTTCGAACCCCACCTCTGCTTCTGGACTTCTCCTGTCTAGGCTTGGGCGACCTGGCAGTATCCCAGCCCTTGTGCTTCCTTCGGGTAGCATGGCATTTAGGCACCGAAAGGGTGCTACAGCTGAACGATTTTTTCGTACTAGAGCTCATCAGCAATGCATGCCCTCGCCTTGATTCGGACCCTGGGCAGCTAACACGCGAAGCGAGCGCAATACCACTACTCCACCATCGCACACTGGAGGCCTTACGTCTGAAAAGGCGAATGCGTTCACGATTAGAAGATGTGAATGACTCGAACTGCTGTCCTGGTCGTATCGATCGATTGACCTAAACGACAGGATTTTCCTAACCAATGCGGTATATAAGGAATTCAAGGTAACAACTCTATATACACACTGGCCTTCGATGATGATGAATTATAGCACTCTAATGTTCGTTCAAATTCTCGTGTGAACCCGTGACACATTTTCATGCACATATCAGCTGTTAAATGACTTACGTTCAAGTCTTGACGGCAGCAATGACTAGGGGACGGAGAGAATCGACGGAAACAAAGTGCTGGATGAATTCGAATCTAAACACTCACTCGACTCATTAGGTTCGGAAGCAGGTTCCCCATTAGATTCAGCTGGTGGTTGTTGCCGCTGCTGTTGCATTCGAAGTTGCCGGGTCAGCGCCGCATTCAAGAGCGGTTGTTTCTTTGCGTTCAGGGTGGCCAACAAGGCACGCCAAACAGGAGCACAAGATTTGATTTGTTGATAGAGAAATGAGTTACACAGCATCAGTTTGCCCAGTGTGGAAAGAGGGAGGTACAGAAGTATTCGGGTCTATAAGCAAAGGGAGAAATAAAGGGAAGTGTTGTTGACCATCAACAGGTACATTTTCCCAGTGCGTTTCTGAGCTGAGTCAAGATCAAATTTTACCGGGGGATAAGGTTTGTCGAATAGTGACTGAGTTGTCTCATCGTTGCGGAAACGGGCGAACAAGATGCGGAACGCTGGTTTACTTGTAGTTTCGCATACCAGAAAGTTAGTTGGACGAAACAGGTGTGCAAAAGCACCCAAGCTTGTCGTAATCTCTTTCATACCCCTCTGCCAAGTCAAGAGTTGGCCACCTCTCTGTTTACACCATTCTGAATTGGGCATGGAAGACAGCACTCCCTTCAGCAAACGATGGTTAGGCATACGCAACACATGTCCCAAACAACGCCGCTTCTGGTTATGGATACGCCGACACCAACCCACACGAGCTATGGTTCTGAGACGACGATTGTAGAGCACCTGAAGACGTCTCAGTTCCGTTGCTCGAACAGGCCAAGTCAGCCATACAACGAAACAGCCCGCACTGTAGCTCGGTACACGAGTCCCTTGAAATTCAAAGCACTGAGTATTTGAAAGTGAGGTAACGGGTAACCGTCCAGCCATGACACTCTTTGTTCGGAGGTCAGCCGCACGAAATAACCGAACATCACATCGACCGCATAGATATACAGTGAACCGGCTACGTACCAAGGCATGCCCCGATTGGTCAGAATATGGGCCAATCAGAAGTAAACACTTTCAGGACAACGCTTCTCATCCCACTACCAAGATTCTAGCCTGACCTTGTGGAAAGTTCCGTGGTCAGTGCATGAATATAGCTGTAGCAATCTTTACTTGTTTCCATTACACGTCGTCTGAAGCGATCATGCCCCTTGACATTCCATAGTGGGAGGAACCGTAGGCCAAGGAGCGGCATAATAGTTGCGAGCTGCAACACCCTGCAACACTGCATAGGTGCCACTACAAGCCCAACTGCCAGGTTTTCAAAGCCGAAGCAATTGAGAAACCAGTGGTGGGTTCGAACCACAGACTTTCTGGACACCTTAACTGTTGAGCTACCTCGAGATGATGACCACAATCATTGTGGCGACGAGCAAGTTGCTATGTAGCATCAGCAGTATGGCATCACAAGTGTTAAGTCAGAAAGATGAGATTAATATACAAGGAAGATAAATGCAACACATGAATCCAGAGGCGTACCAGTATTTCAAAGGGGAGATTCGTGAGCATTATCCTTTCTGGCATTCCTAGCTCTGAAATGGAAACAAAGAATGAACGGATGGAAATAATCACGCCTATCGATATTGACGGCGCAGGAGCAGACAGATGACAGTAGACAGACAGACTTTCGGCTAACGAGAATGCTGCTCTATCGATATTGACGGCGCAGGAGCAGACAGATGACATGCAGTAGACAGACTGTCGGCTAACGAGACACGATGCTGCTCTCGGACCAGTTTGCAAAAGTGCATCGGAGAGAAGAAGTACTTGATCCACCAGTCCACCACCTTCGGGTTGCACGACAGCAATGAGCCGAAAGGGAGTTACAAGTGAACGGTTTGGTGATTGGCGTCGGTTCTCACGAACGGTGTGTGCATATTCCGATCAAATATTGCGCTGAGGAACAGAGTATCCCGTGATACGGGGTGAAAAGCGGACAGCAATATAGAGTGGTACTAGAATTAGCAACTAAACAAGCCTTTCATCCAAACAGGATGAAGCACGTGACCGATCGGCGGTCTCGGATACCGACCATAACCCGCATGCCAAGCAGTGCAACTCATCAAATGTGGAAGGGCAAACGTCAATTAGCATTCATAGCAGCACTCTGCATACAGGAGCTGTGAACTCACTTGACGGATTCTTAGCAAAATCATGAGGTGACTCGAAAGGAAAGCTTTTTTATCGGCAAATGAGCAGATTTATGGAGCCGGAGCTGTAAGGGAAGCTAATCTATGCTGAAAAGCCGAGAAGTACGTTCAGCTGCAACACCCCTTCGGTGTCTAACCGCCATGCCACCCGAAGGAAGGACGAGGGCTAGGATACTGCCAGGTTGTTCAAGCCTGGACAGGGGAAGTCGAGATGCAGAGGTTCGGTTCGAACTACGGACCTTCCGGTCAGTAAATTCACGCTCTAACCACTGAGTACTGTACAACTGTTCCATCCTCATTGGGAATAATCACCAGTGCTAAGATTGCTCTCTCAAGCCCGTATCTCACCCGTTCTCCCCAAATCTAACAGTGCTTCCGGAATGTGTACACACTCTGCAGTTTCCCGCGGTGCTGCGATACTTACCAGCATGAATGTTCACTAACATTGGCTCGATTAATTCATCTTTGATTCGGTTGGAAAGCAGTTGCAGATTTTTGAAAAGGAAACTGGGTGTAGGGATGACTTCTGAAAGAAAAGAACGAACGAATGGGTGGGGTTAGGGAGCGATATATGAGGGAAAAAGGCCACAAATATATGAGAACAGCTGAACATGAGTATAAAAACTCATCCTTGCGGTTCATTTGGAAACATTATATGAAGAGACCTACTCCAGAGATCTTTCCAGATGAACCGCTCGGACGATTTGCGGCGTTCGTCTGTCGAACAGCCGCCGGGCAAACCATTAGAAAGACGATGATTGAAACAAGGCTGGTTGGCTGGCTATCTAAACCAATCATCAAGAAGCCAGAGATGACCAATGGCTTTTCGATCTAGCGTCAAAAAACTTTATGCCACCTTGGGGGTTTGAAAGCGTCCATGGCAAACAGGCAAGCAGTTTCTTGACCGTGTTCTATCCATCATGCATATGGACAAAGTCAGTGCGTGAAAGATTACCGCTTCCAATCGTGAGAGAGTCGCAGTGAGGAACTGTCGTTGGCACTCGCTCACGAAGTTAAACTTCCGTGGCATATCGACAGAAAACCGGAAGTAGTGGTGCTTATATGTGTCTCATGAAAAAAAACAAGTTTTACACATACCCCAACCATGCTACAGAGCGCAAGTGGATTGAACGATCCAATTAGTTAGAATGAGACGACCGCAGTTGAACCTCACTAATCGTTTGCACGCGAACACGGGTGGACTTCGTCGGAAGTCAGTGGACACATTCCCAACGATTTGATGTAACGATATAACCAGAACGAAATGAGCTACTGGAAGAAGAAAGCAGTCTGGCTTCCGTCTTTGATCCACTTCCAACATGTTGTGCTGAGTTCCAGTAAGCAGAAAAGGATCTCAATCGAGAATCGGCGATACACAACTGACCTAAAACTGAGATACAACCCGGCTGCCTAAGCCTAAAATAACGAGAAAAAGTCGGGTGCAAAGTGGGGAATAAGAATGAACGACGTTTTAATCATCATCATCGTCATCATCCACACTACCATCAGTGGAGGCGATGGCAACGGCAAAACCAAGGGAAACAAAACATATGGTGGTTTTCACTGCCGCAGTGGGGTTGAAAAGGTAAATGAAAGGCCACACATCGTTCAGCTGTAACACCCTTCTGGTGCCTAACTGCCATGCCACCCGAAGGGAGCACGAGTACTGGGATACTGCCAGGTTGCCCAAGCTTAGACAGGGGAAGTCGAGAGGCTGAGATCGGGTTCGAACCACGAACCTTCCGGCCGTCTCTCCCCGCGAAGGCCACACATAAGAAATGATGGCTGATACCCTTGACGATCAAGTCCACTGGTGATGATGGGTGCTTTGCTACTGCTGTGGAGATCTGCGGCGATGACTGCACTGAAAACAATGGTCTGCGATATGTGGGCATGCGTAAATGGGTCGTGTCCACCCGTGTTTCTAATCGTCAGCTATTCTCAATGACGACGAACGAACCACATTCAACACAGCCATGAATTGCTCGTTCAAGAAGATTTCCGCAAAACTGGCGCAGCATACGAAGCGCGTTGCAGGCCAGTGTAGCCTTCAAAGGGTTATAAGCTCAGCCAGCAACTTTCTGCATTTCTGTAGTCGGACAATACTTGAAAGAGGTGCGCAATCAGCCGATCTCACTGCTATGAACCACATCGTCACTGGACTGGTCACTATTGTCGATAGCATCGTCATTGGCCATAGTGATGACAGTTTCCGGGAAAGACTAGGCGCGCCTGGATAGATAGGTCCCTTGTGAAGAAAACCGAATAGTCGTTGTTACAATGAAGATCTTGCTGAATCGCCCATTATGTCAAATATAAAACCAATGAACACAGCTAGCAAGTAGATAAGCGACAAGCTGACCGAGTGTGCTGGCACACGCGCAGTGTAGTCTACCTTTACTTGTAAATTAGAGTAAAGATCAAGGGCAGTAAGGATCGGTTTCGTAACCCCTCGACTCACTCGCACTGATGTATTGTAACATTGGAAACGGCATACACAAAAACGGCTTACGTTGACCGAGCGCCGAAACGACCAGATAATCACGAAGCGATAGGATCAGTTGTCGGGCCAGTTGGGCTTCCTTGCAGCTCGCTAAAACACATAAATGAATGATGACAGTGAAGAAGAACAAGAGAAGGACAGTCGGACAATAACTCATCACAGGAAGTCTACTCGCCAAACTACTGGTTTTCAGACGGAGATGGTTGTTAGCTCTGCCTGATGTATCCAACCAAGGCCATCCCTAACCTTGCCAATCCAATCAGTGTTGTTTTTGTAAATGTGTGCCTGAGTGAAGAAGATCCAAGCATGCCGATCGTCCTGACGCCCGAGGGGAATTTTTTCGAACTTGTCTTGGCCACTGAAATACACACTTCGTTGTGAACTGCTGATACTGCTCACCGATGGGCCAGATGGCCCAAGCGTAAATTTACTGACCGGAAGGTCCGTGGTTCAAACCCGACCTCTGCATCTAAGAACCTCCCCTGTCTAGGCTTGGGCAACCTGGCAGTATCCCAACCCTCGTGCTTCCTTCGGGTGGAATGGCAGCTAGGCACCGAAGGGGTTCTAAAGCTGAACGATTGGGCAATTTTTACGTATGATTTAGCCGTACGGCAATTATGACACCCCAATATCGTTTGCGGATGAGTTGAGGGTATTCAGCGGATTGTGAAATGCACGTTAGCCTTAAAGAAAGCCTCAGTTCGTTCCCTTCGTGGTGGAATGACGATGCTGAGATACACTGCAGATGGATGTCAAGGGATAGGTTGTCCCTAATAAAGAAATCCTCGAGGTCGACCATGTGAATACACGCCCAGTTCGCAAATTAGTTGTTTTTCCACGTTCGTATGGCATTCGAATCTAGCGAGCACACAAATTTGGTTTGAAAAAGAGACTCAAATGAATCCAGCTGAATCTCCCGTTTGAGGGGGTCCGCTCCAGGCTGCATCACGGTTGGTACGATAGTCGCGATAATGCAATATGTTGTGGTATACACGTAACACATTGCTCATAAGGTTACTGAGTTTAAGTAGAAAGTGAGGTTGACGGAAATTCGGGAACTACGTCTACCCGATGAGCCCCAAGAATAGAACCGGTCGTGGGCAGTTCAAGAGATTTCAGCAACCTTATGAGTAGTGTGATACGTCTGACAACTTTCGAGCTGTTTATTTGCCACAGTTACGTTTGACTGTTGGCGAACAACTCATGCCGTTGAAGTCGCGCTGTAGGTTCATCGCATGTATGCCGAGTAAATTCGGCATATGCATATTGTTGTGAAATTTCCGCTACCGATCAACAATGCACCGTACCAGGATCTGATCATTAAAACATTCGGTCAAAATAATTGCACGGTCTAGGTGAATTATGTCAACGGAGCTGTTGATTAACTTTCAATCCTCATTGGATTTTGGACGAAATGGCATGTACCGGATGCTGTCGCAACGACTCACCGCCCAGGATGGAGTCTATGGTTGGAGACCCTGCAAGATATGGCTGCCAATCGATGTTGTCATTTTCAATCTGGTTTGTCTGAATGAACGTCTGAAGGTGTGGGCACCTCAGAATGATTGTAGTAAGTTAGCACTATGCCAATTTCTCATCCACCTTCATTCTTTTCTTCACACTGTGGCTTTCAAATGAATCATGGTGGCACGGCAGTGAAATGTCGGTTGGTGTTGGACGCTGATGTTGTATTGTCAGTGATTGCGATGATGACGATGATGAGTGTGGAATTTCAAGCTGTTACACTGAACTCGGAGTCTCGTGTTCTTGCAGCGCATCGTTTTGTGTGGGTTCTGTTGCTCGACTGACCTGCTTTGGATCAGTGCATGTTTATATGGATCGTTCACGAATGGCCTTTCCATAATGCACTGAGCAAAGGTTGGTGCGCTGGTTATCCCGTTGTGCAAATCGCGTGAGTTTTGTAAAAAGCTTAAGCATTCCAAATATTAAACGATAGTACTAATAATCGTTCATCTGCAGCACCGTTTCGGTGCGTGGCTGCCATGCCACCCGAATCAAGGGCAATGGATACCACTTCCCGCAAGTCGAGATGCAGAGGTTGGGTTCGAACTACGGACCTTCAGATGAGTAAGTTGGCGTGCCTGCTGACAGGTGAACTCAGCCCTGGGAAAATTTCGGAAGATTCGTTACCAACTTTAACCCGGGAGGATACGTCTCAGTCCATCACAGAGATCCGATAACACACCGCCTCAAAGTTGCACCACATCGTCCATTAGACACCATGAGCTGACTAGGCTTTTGGGGAACAAGGCGTGTATCTGACAACATGAACGCACAACCAGTGCATGCAGCCATAATTTCTATCCAATCCATCCTCCGTTATTCTTTCATCAGTTCATAATTACTGGTGCCTTAAGAGGCAAAAGTCTTAGGTTACATAGACTAACATTGGACTATTTTATTTCCGTAACTCTGATGCACGTTCGGGCAGAAATCACTTTTCAGCAAGCAGATTTGAGATGGAAAAAAGCAATCTCATGAATAACGAATTGTACAGGACAAGAAACGGGACGGCCTTGTTCCAACGGCTAGCACCACACACTGCACCAAGCGGACATGGCGAGTAGCCGACTGCTAAGACACTGTACTTATCCCCTCGATATCACTGAATTGAATATGCGAAAAGAGGTACGGATGAGGTGAAGTTGATGCAATATGGTTCATATAGTCTGTCACCCAAGATTTTCGATTGGTTTGCGGGTGGGGGGCAGTCCGCATCCCGCAGTTTAATTTACACTATACTCATAAGTAGTTCAGAATGGGTGCAGAAGAGCTGGTGAGAGGCGTGCATAGGTTGCTTCCGCTGTGAACTGGTTCGTTTGGTGAGACTGCTCAATTGCAACAGTTGGTGCAGACCACATACAGGAGGGTTAGGTGAATACACATTTTGTAAAACACACGGTATATCGCTCACTAATTTCGTCATGTGTGGTTCAGCTCAAGTCAGCATTTTGTTGATGTAGTTCAATGGTTCTTCAAATCACCTTAACATCAAGTCGAAAGAAACAACTGTGGCACCATTCGCGTGCGAAAAGAAGTAATAGGTCTGGATTGTTGTCAGATTCTCAAAAAAACAAGAGATGGGGATTGAAAAGTTCGAAGTGAACTCGAACCTCGTCGCTTGTTAGCTGATGGCTTGACTTCAGATATTTCAAGATCAAGATTACTATAGTAGATATGGTGCTCAATGCTGAACACGGATCTCTGTTGCAGACGCATTAACGGAGCAAGACGGCAACTGCGCAATAAGTTGATGAAAACCCGAGGAGTACGCCTACCCACGGAAGGCGAAACCGGTGTAACGGTGGATACTACTGATGAACCATGCGAATAATATGTGGTTTTATCATAACTCCAATGCGCGTTTATTGAAAAGTGAGATTTACTACGGAATTCGTGGAATCGCTTTGTAGCATTTGTTTACCTCTGAGTGATAGTCAATGAATATCCAGGAATGTTCAGGAAGACACGTTTGAGAAGAAGACGGATACACAGTTTTTATAAACAAGATGCATATGAGGGTTTTGCCTCCCTGTCCAATAGTTTGTAACTGTTCATTTGGTGTTTCCCAATAAGTAACTCTGCAGCAAAGGCCTTCTTCCTTTCACCAGGCTGTTGAAAAGTTTTCAGCAATCAGTAGTGCGTTGTGTCGACACAATACACCGCGATAGCTCAGATATCATGAGGCTGTCTGTGCGCAGTAGTTGGGTCCCTAGTTAAACGTGTAACTGTTCATTTGGTGTTTCCCAATAAGTAACTCCGCAGCAAAGGCCTTCTTCCTTTCACCAGGCTGTTGAAAAATTTTCAGCAATCAGTAGTGCGTTGTGTCGACACAATACACCGCGATAGCTCAGATATCATGAGGCTGTCTGTGCGCAGTAGTTGGGTCCCTAGTTAAACGGCAGTGTGACTTTCAGATATACTTCGCCTGCACGACAGTAATTTTTCCAATAAACACGTCTCGTCAAAGGAATAACAATGAATACTGCATGAATGAATAAGCCTACCTGCCATGCAGATCAGGTTGCCAACCGTGTAAACGGTGAAGGTGATATGGATCTCAGGAGTCGAAGCATAAACGAACCGCAAGCGAAGAGCAGTGGAAGCCAGATTGACCACATCAACCAACTCATCTACACACTGGAGGACTGGTCAACCCGGTGATCACAGAGAACGTACAGTACCTGGAGTTTCTTCTCGTTAGCGCACAAATAGACGGGCAAAACGAACAACGAGAGGACATTGTGGTTGGCAAGCGACACTCGGTTGCACAAAGCATCCACAGAAGTGAAGAGCTATGGTGGATTGTTGAAAGCACAGGAAACGGAGTCAACTTACCTCGTGCTCCATGGAATGTCGAATATCGTCCAGTAATTCTAGGGATTGCACGTAAACAATGTCACCGTTGACAATTCCGACAGTGGAAATTGGAACGTCCGACTCGGCTAGCCCTATGAAATCTTTCGCATTCAGACTGATTTGGACGTTTGGACTATGGTACAAATTGGTCCGTCCGGAAGGTGAAAAAAAACACTTACAGAGCAACTTTGAACAGGTCGGAAACAACTCGAAGTAGATCTATCACATGCGCATCTTCCGCAGAAATTTCGTGAACGTGGAATCTGTTGCGGAATTTAAATCGAATCTTCATGACTTTTGCGTTAATTCATTCTGAAACAAACGAAATGGGATAGTAAGAGCAAATAAAAGACTTGATCCACATTTTTCAAGATGCGACAGTACGTGAAAAAGACGAGTGGACGGTTTGTGACTAGGCATATTTTCCACACAAAAAACTGTGACATTTGATTTCGTTGAGACCAACAGGCGACAATCTCACAACCTGAACCTCAGCGATTCAACATATCATCTTGACCATCAACTGTAAGCCGTTCACATAACGTAAAGTGGTTACAGCTACCAAAGTTTCATTTAGCGATGGCCTGGTAAGTAAGGATGGGTTGGATAGCTTCGTACCGGATAAAGTGGGCTTTTCGATCGTAAGGAGACCGACAACTGGAACCGATTCAACACGCTGCTCCGTAAATATGACCGCACGACAAACAACCTGACATTCTGATATAGTTCCACTCTCTACGACAGTGGCTCTCAGACTCTTTGGACGTATTTCAACACAAGTTTCCGGATAACCAACTCGGTGGTCTGCAGTTCCATGATAACTTTGGCACCTATGCACGGTATAAAACCTAGGTCACGTGAGGGTGGAAAATACAGTCGTCAATACTGCAGAAACTTGAAAACCGTCAAAACGTGGACCTTCCTCCCTCGGTTGCGAAACAATTCACGCAGCATCACCGAACACCGAGGAAATCTATACAGGATGTATCTATTTCTGATTCACTGTAAGTAATTCAATGGCCAGCTTGCTCGCTATTCTTTGAAGTATCATAAAGCCTCCAAATTGTGCCAAATTCCGAAGGATAACGGAACAATTGCAGTGCGCAGGACGTGTAACATCTTCTCCGTATGACTGAAAAACAAATTTAATTTAATTTAATGGAGGAAGAAGCAATATCGCAGAGTTGGTGGTATAGCTAGAACTCTGGTTTCTAAGTGACTGGTAGGCCACAAACAAACTCAGTTAAATTCGAACACGTTTTCAAGCGTCAATTATCACCACTGGATGCTTAAGCGATACAAACTAGCTTGATTTCGCCGCACAGTTTGGTGCATGCTTCAAACATATAATAGGCGAGCACAAGACTTGGCAGAAACAGACCTACACCTCACGTTTTTAGGCCAGCCAATCAATAAAATAACTTTCATTTGTCTGGGCATTTGTACAGATGGACCGGGTGAAGTGGGGTCAGTTCTGGAATCAGGACAGCTTGTGGACATCTTCGATGCTTACGGTCTTGGAACAGAGTCTGTGGCAATGCGATCCATGCCACGACGATGGTTTTTTGGCCACTGGTGTCCCTAAAGGCCTATCCGGGTCAAGTGGGAATACCGGAATGGCAATGTCGAGAAGTCAGACGGTCAGAGAGGAACTCTCCCACGATGAATAGGCAAGTTACCTGCCATAGGTTGCACTAATTAGGCCAGGCACCTCACGTGTTAGAGGACCGTTAATCCCATAGAGCTCTTCTCGCTACGTCTTGGACTAAGTAGAAACGACTTGAGGGCGAATAATCTAAGACCCGTCCAAAAAATATGAGAATCAGTAAACTATCGCCTTCCTCAACGGGAACTCCGAGATGTGACGTAACAGCGGTTAGTGTTATACGCAGTCAGCGGTGTCTCAGTGTCGAGGTATTCACCCAGTTCATCAGGGACTGGAACAATTTGACTCCAATTAAGTGGTTAGAACATCGCCCCCAAATGTCCGGATATTCCTTCCCTGTTGACCTAGTTGGAAAACTCTAGCAACTGGAGCCAGTGTATCATCAGCGCACGGTTTACAGCTGTGTCACAGTCAACTGATAAAACTCAAAGTGATTTCCTTCAATAACCAAATGGAGCGGGTTGAGTCATGCAAGAATAGCATGGAACTTGTTCTCTACAGTTCCAGTAGATGGCATTTTTTCAGAGCTAAGGAAACTGTAGGTTTCATCAGTTGGTGGAAAATATGCTGCGAGAGAGATGCAAAATTCGAATGACTTTGAAGAGTAAACGCATTAAACAAACCAATAAAGGGGCCGTTCGTGGGAGGGATTATGGCACCTATCCGACTGCAAAGTATTACACGATAGGTACTCTTGATCGTCAGGATGGTGGTGAGATTCAGCTCTCTGCTGGCGTCGAATGCAACCTTTCTTTGATAATAGTACTAACATACGCCCTGTCAGGGCTATCCAAGATTACTGCGCAAACAAGTTCAACACTTCTCCCTTAAGTACAATTGTTCCGTTTTGTTTGTTAGAGACATACCAGCTCCCATTTTCTTCACCGAGTGCATAAGAGTTCAGCGACGCCATGGATGGCTATACCTGTGACACGCCAGGGACTTACGTGTATCTGTAGGCGGGACTTGACGAACCCACGAGGTTGTCTCAAAAGGGTTCACCAAGACTCAACGACGTCCAACGTAGGCCATACGACAACTTGCTCAGTAGCCTTTCCACTCTCACAACGAATGAGATTTGCATTCAAATACCCTCCAAGGTGAGTTACTTGTGACAAACGACCTCAATCAACGCGGGGTGGCTCCCTCTACAGAGTACAACCACTGGCATTTCACAGTGTCAAATCCACGCGGTCGTGTATGTCCCCACAGTTCTACCCTGAAATTTATCAACGACTACTGGATTCACCACTTTACCGGTTAAACTTCCCGGAATACTTGTGAATATCAGGCTGATGTCCTCTTCAACCTTGAATGACAAGGCAGGACGGTTATTTCAACGTTCCTGATGGTGATATGAGATGCCCAGCACCCAGTCAACCTCTCTTTAGCTGAACGCCGTTTCAACTTGTGACACTCAGTCAGAACCCAAACTGATCTTTTCGCGCACTGCAACCATCCTGCTCCACCTGGCTTATGTGAACGACAGTATGATGCTTCCATTCTGGGCAGTGGACCATATATGACATGAAAGTTCCTGGTTGGTAGTGTGAGAAGAGATTTGGGTTTTTTGCAGAAATTTCGTCCTGTCAGTGAAGCCAATCTATGCTGAAAGCTGAGAAGCACTGTACAGCTGTTTAATCCTTATTGGGAATCATCAGCAGTGCGCATCTCACGAAACTCCGGAGAGTCTCGAACCCGCAACCGCTAGCAGTCTGAACACTTAACTGTCCGGTCACGGATGGCTAATCAGCACCTAGACAAGATATAGCGCCGCTCATCCTTTAATCACGGGATCCACATCACGCGGTCACCCGTGGTGACTGGCTCCTCGAGCAACGACTGCTCAGACGGAAGTTTCGGGTGAAGTTCCCCTTCTTTCACTGAGCTACTTACAGTTCCTATATGCTTCCGTAACTGCCCAAATTTTTCATTCGAAATTTACCTTCGAATGCAAAAAAGGATACAAGCCACTCAAGAACCAATAGGCTCATAAAAGTGAGCTGAGCCTCCGAACGGGACCCAAGCCGATTTCTCGTCACTTGTCGCTCTTGATCAGTTCACTGAGGAATTGCTTTGATTTTATCACAGCTTTCAACGTGTACTTCCGAGGTGCTACCCTTAGGACAGAGCAAAGTGGCTCTGTTGTGCTGTTACACTGGACCATCTAAACCTGGGTTATATGCACCAATATCATGATCCAGCAATACGCATACAGTTCCTCGGTGTTGTACCATCAAAACTGTGAGCTAGAATTTCATGTCGGATAGCGTAGGTTCAGCTACTTTTCAAGGTCACACACTTTGATGTCACATGGCGAACCCAAATGCACTACTCATAAGGCAAAACAGGTAAACAACCTTAGGGGCAGTGTATTGTGTCTACACATGCATCACGATATCTCTATTATCATGCCAACTGAACCATAAGGCGGCCTGGTGCAGCATATTCAGTTGCTTAGAGACATCGTAAACGGGAGATTCAGTTGAGTTCCAGATGAGTCTCTCGTGAAAACCAAAGTGATTTGCAAATGAGCGTATTTATCGAAATCAATCGAATTAGGGTTCAAGCAGAACTCGGGGACTCCGCCTATCGGGTGAGCTCCAAGAAGAGTGTGGGTTGTCGAGGTGTTTTCAGCAGCCTTACGTGTAGTTTCCTCTATGAAAGTTTAGCCTCTGTTGTTCTGAAGGCTTTCTTCACCGTTGCATCCAAGACATTTGGAATACTTCAGCCAGAAAGCGTTCTGATTTATCATCTCGCTATTGAAGGAACAGTTGTGAAGCCTATGTTCGATATTTCCCAAACAGAACAAAGCAACAATTACTACCAAACAGTTGGAGCCCAAGTTTGCGCATGAAGTGAGAACGGCGTCACAAAAACATAGTTTATGTACAAAACCGATATGGATACAATCACTTTTGCATGTGCTGTTTCAAACGCTTTTGTTTTCGTGAAATTCGTCCTTTGGGTTTAGTGGATTTCTTTGCATTACTGTTGCCTTTACGTTTGCGATGGCGGTTCTTCGGACCGAATCGTTTGGGAAGAATACGTGTGGAAACTTGTTTGTTGGATCGATTCCCCGGGTTCGGTTTGTGAGACCGCATAGAAGCGGGTGGTGGACGGTTAGCTGGGTTGGCTAACGTTTTTCCGGACAAGCGCTTTGATTGAATAGCCTGGAAGATACAATGGGGAAGGCAATGCACTTTCTGTACTGTTTTGCGACCGTGTTTGGCCAGGAGTCCAGAAAAAAACAAGAGGTTAGAACACAAAGCATGGGGGAATGTGTCCAAACTGATCCAAATACCAGTGCTACGTGTGTAACAATGCGACCACCTCATAAACGATCAGCGCTCACTTGAAATTACGAATTTTCCCTAAAGCCCTATTTCTGATACGGTTGTAAAGCTGTATCTGTCAACTGATAGGTCATTTTTCCTCACAGACAGGAACCTCCACACAACAGCGACGGTCCGCTACGTGTTGTGGTAAAAAAAACTCAATCGACCCAGTGAGGAGAAAATGACAGTCAAGCCCCCTTCCCCCAGAAGGGGGGGAACTGCCTTTAACAAAAGGCAGCGCAGTCTGTCTATCTCAAAATAGTAGCAGTGGTAGTAGTATAGAGAGCAGCACATGTTCTGAAAGGGTTACCCCTGAACAAGGGCCGCATGAAACTTCCAACAGACCGGTCGGTCTAGAAGAATCTGACTGGGACCTTGGATTGGCAAACAATGGTAGCGAACCAACATCATGAAAGCTGCAGTCAAAAAACGAACATGATTCGTTCGCTAAAGTTGATCTAATTCGAGATTGATGCCAAAAACTACCTGGGCTAATTGCTCGGTAGCTACGGAAGCACGTGGATAACGTCTGCATTGGTTGTTATCAAGGCACAGATGCCGGAATTACGGAAATCAATTTTCCCGGGAGTGTTGCACGTATAACAAAACGGTTTACCTAGTTAGAATAGCTCGAATTAGCCCAATGGTTAGGGCGCGAACTTACTGACCGGACAGTCCGTAGTTCGAACTCAGTCCAAGCATCTCGACTGGTTCTGTCTAGACTTGGGCAATGCGGCAGTGCCTCGGCCCTCGTCCTTTCTTTGGGTGGCATGGTAGCTAGGCACCGAAAGGGCGGGATTAACGAGGGCGCGAACTTACTGACCGGACAGTCCGTAGTTCGAACTCAGTCCAAGCATCTCGACTGGTTCTGTCTAGACTTGGGCAATGCGGCAGTGCCTCGGCCCTCGTCCTTTCTTTGGGTGGCATGGTAGCTAGGCACCGAAAGGGCGCCACGGATTAACGAGTATTATTATTATCATCACTAGATATTTGGAATGATTGGGCGTTTTCCAAAGCTCATGCGATTCGCACACACGAACAACCACGGCGTTGTACAAAACACATTTCTATCTTTGTCAATTGCACTTTAGAAAGACCATCCGTGCTTGCACCCTGTAAAGGAATGCGTCCAGCTTACGGTAATATGATAGTACGAAAGTAAATCATACAATCGTGAAGATAAATCTTACGACATTCTGAATACTCTGAACGGTCCGAATAAACATGCAATGAGCCAAAGCTAGTCCGTCGAGCAACAGGACCTACACAAAACGATGCGCTGCAAGAACACGAGAACCCGGGTTCAGTGTATCAGGTTGAAATTCCGCACTCATCATCATCATCATCGCAATCACTGACAACACTACATCAGCGTCCAACTCTGCCGTGACACCATGATTCATCTGAAAGCCACAGTGTGAAGAAAAGAATGAAGTAGGATGAGAAACTGGCACAGTGATAGCTTACTACAATCATTCCCACACCACCAGGCGTTCATTCAGACAAATCAGATTGAAAATGACAACATCGATTGGCAGCCATATTTTGCAGGGTCTCCAACCATAGACTCCATCCTGGGCGGTGAGTCGTTGCGACAGCATCCGGTACATGCCATTTCGTCCAAAATCCAATAAGGATTGGAAGTTGATCAACAGCTCCATTGACATAGTTCACCTGGACCGTGCAATTATTTCCACCGAATGTTTTAACGATCAGATCCCGGCACAATGCACTGTTCATTGGTAGCCCGTATTCTAACCTAACCATGTGTTGTCAGTTCACAAAAATCCTAAACGTTCTACTGGAAACAGGATGAGACCTGGTCACTTATACCAACTGCGTCTGGGGCAGGGGTTACGGTTCACTTGCTGAATGTGGTCACACAGCGTTGTCATTTGCGTCGGGCTGTGTCTGATACTTGGATTGGCAGTCCCGTGCGATAGGAAGAGCATGTGCCCTCAAGTCATGTGCCGTTGGCACTCGATTTGCACGACAGTGGGTAGAGTGTGAATAAACTCTTCTATGCTGTCCATTATTCGTGAAAAGATCTGTTCATCGTTGATAATGAGGACGTCCGGATTCATAGCCATTATCCATCGAAACTACCCAGAGACGCCGGAGTTCGTTTGGCCTGTGAATGAGAATTGCCAAGACGATCTCGGGGTCTCTTAGTTAATGTTTGCAGGGCGTATGTATCTTGTGACAAGCCGTGGCGTATTTATCACAACATAATGATGCTTTCATACGTGCCTAAAGACTAACGAATCCCTAGGAGACTAGTGGCCATTTGAGAGCGCCACAACCTAAATTGCTTCACAATGAACAGGAAAAAGGTCGGTACTCAGTCAGTATGTGACATTAAAGGTGAACTGGATCTCATAAATACAATAAAGATGACATTCACACATGGTTCGCGACGAAATACGATGGTCCAACCAGTAAGGACGGCGATCTGAACATGGACAAATGAGGCAAATGACCTTCTCACTAGCAGTGAACGACACGCGTGGCAAAAGCTGAGGCTCGTGAACTTACCGCACACCGTTCTGCTCGTCGACGTTTCTTCTCCAAAGCTAGCATGTTCTCCAGGGAGAATTCAACAATTGGACGCTAAAAAGCAAGAACTTATTTCAACGGACTCGTAACTCAGTGGTTTAGATGATGGAACTCAAAATGGTAGGGCTTTATATCATCTAAGGCTTGAGTAGTCAGAGCTTATCATATCTTTCTATATACTGACGTTCCTCATTCCTTATTCTATCTAATCTGAACTTCGATTGATGGTCTGTATGACAGATAATGAGATGGCTACTCGTCACTGGCACTGTGTTTGTCTTCTGACGCTGTTCACGTCTCTCTCCGCCATAAATGAGTGTCCCCGTGAGGATCTGGCCTGGAATCGAACGTGGACGGTTAGGGCGGAATTTCAGTCATGTGACGAACACCGTACGATTCAGAACATGTTCAAAGTCGTTCCACTTTTGTAATCCAATTCCGACGGTAGCACAGCTTACGCAGCACCGTTTCGCGAAGGGCGACACGCGCCTGCTGACTATCATCTGTCTGTCTATGGGACTATCCTCGCGAAACACCTCGGCTGTCTGTAAACCTCTTTGCTTTTTAGAAAAAAAAACAGCTATATTAACCACTCATAAACGTCCACTACAGCCCTCCGAATCGCTACAGTTTCCTCTTAGCGATTTACCAGACCTGTGATTGCTACTTTCACATCCATTGCCTGCCACGATCCCGTAATCTGCGTCACTGCTGATTTTCAGGCCATCCAGTAACGAGAGCACTATGAAAAAGGAAAGATAAGTTTACTGGATGTGTGAAACTTCCTTCTGAGAGATCGTCACTGGGGCAGCTAGTCAGTCGATCGGTGACCTCGTGATATGGTTTCCGCGATTGAAGGATGTCTTGTCTACTAGAGGGAGTCTAAGCACACTGCTGCTCAACCGCTCGTGACCAAACGGTTAAGTGTTCAGTCGCTGGTCGGAAGGTGGCGGGTTCCGAACTCTCTGGGGTTCATCAGATGCGCCAACAAGAATGAAACAGCTGTACAGTGCTTCTCAGCTTTTCAGTATAAATTAGCTTCACTGACAGGATGGTATCCCTATCGATTTCCTTTCTAACAACAGGTGTGCGTCGAATGGCAACGAAACTCGGCCCTGCGGAATCTATCACACTGCTCCGGAATATACAGTGGTTACTGTCCAAAGTTTGTGTGGAGACTAGCATTGGAATCCATTAATTCACATCGTCTAAGGAAATGTAGTTCTCCTTGAGTACACGGAACCCCATTGGATCACCAAAAACCTCTCCCGTTTGAGAATGTGCTTGTTATAAAAAAACTCGACATTCTATGAAAGAAACCAATTTCTGTAAGCAGACAAACTTTTAAACAAGAATATCTAGAGGGAAGACAAACCCGTTGTCCCTTGAACACAGCCGGATTGTTGTTCAACGCGTTGAGCAGTTTGAGGGCATCCGCATGGGTGGAACAGGACACAAAGGCATAGCCCAAAGACCGAAATTGCTGTTTCCCAGGTTGAAGGTTTCGCATCACACGACACTGAATGGAGTGTGAATCAGTATGAACAATATTGTATGGAAAAATCGTCATGTATATAACTCATACGTGATCAGTGATAACGCTTAGGCCAGTGAGAAAAAAGATGTGCCGGGAAGGACTGTATGAGCACGGATCTCAAACTGATCCGAACATACCACAATAATGTTTCCTGCTCCCGCTACATCTGGAGATAATGCTATCTAACCCGAGCTAAGTGCACTAAATCAAGTTGGCGCCGAGTATGACAAACCGTTGGAGAAGTTAACTCTGGAAAATTCAAAATCTCGGAAAAGTGTAACATCGCTCTCGCAAAGAGGAGGGACAATGCATGCCTTTCACATATTTCACTACCATGCTTATCATTAAGAATTTAACGATCCTTGGGAATGAGTAAAACGTATTCGCTTAGGGAAACTTTATCGAGGACTTCATGGTGGGTAAAATCCCCCAGAATGAGAAGGATGAAGTTTACACATGATCTGCTCAGGAGTCGGACTGATGTCTCACGCCGTTGGATTTTTTCTCTAAACTAGTCAAATGGCTCACATACCCAGACATCAGATTCAAAGATCAGTTGTAATATCCTTCCGGTGTCTAACTGCCATGCTACCTGAAGGAAGCACGAGGACCGGGATACTGCCAGGTTGCCCAAGCCTAGACAGGGGAAGTCGAGAGGCAGAGGTCGGGTTCGAACCACGGCCCTTCCGGTCAGTAAATTCACGCTCTAACTACTTGGGCCATCTCGTCCACCGACACCAGATTCGAGCTGGAGACTTGTGGTCGAAGATTAGTCGACAACTCAAAACGGTCAAACTACCCATCCGCGAATAAACTAGTCGATTACGAAGATGCAGTCGCAGGTGATTAGTTGGCAACGCACACCACATACCGCTGGTTAGCCCATTTCGTCGATTCGCAACCACTGATTTACTACTGTATTGGGCTTACCAAACAACCCTGTTGTACAGAGAACAATAATGAATGTCATCGTTCTAGGACGTTGTTATACCGAAGCTCACGAGTGTCCATTATGTGCACACACCAGAAGGAAACAACAGGGTTTCTGTGATAAACCATTAAAAACCTTATTCTTTGAGATATAATCTTGTGAAATCAATGTAAGGGTTTACATTCGGCTATGGACTAAATCTGTTGAGACGGCTCACAGGCAACGGCACAGGCTTACAAAAAGTGCATGTAGTTGGATACGTGAACCGAATTTCTATGTGTTAGCCGCAATCACCTGACTGACCGCAAGAAATGACCGCTTTGGTGAACGGGTCAGAGAGCAGCGCGGGCACGTTTTGATTGGCTGGAATACCGACCAATCGGTTTCATGAGTTTTAGCTCAGTGCTGTCCATTCCCAGCACACAGCTCGAAGATTTGCCGTGTGGGAACGGCTGTAGCTGGATGAGTGCATTTTATTGCAAGCTATCGTGCGTTCTGAACAATGGCTATTGGGGGTCACGCAGGAATACGCATATTCTATTCTTTCAGAACATGTTCCAACCTGCAGCAGATATATACGAGTATATCTGAATAAAACAGGCCATCCACTTTCCGTCACGGATTCGAAAACGTAAGCTATACACTGTCACACTTCTGCACCCAGCAGAGACGAATCGTAATTCAGTTGGTCGATCCAGCGACCTAGGTCAAATCAGTAATAAGAGTGTCTACTGTAAAATGATTGACTGATCCAGTTGGATCGAAACGACGTCGAACAAACTGATCAGACCTGGAAGAATACGCTAGTTGGACGTCATCATAAGACATGGATTATATCGAGCGGTCGATCGTCCGTTGTCATCTGTTATTCGAGTCAGGTTACTTATTCAAAGTGCGTTCAAAGCGTTCAGCTGTAGCATCTTTCCGATGCCAAGCTGCCATGCCAGGGAAGCACGAAGGCTGGGATACTGCCAGGTTGCCCAAGCCTAGACAGGGGACGTCGAGAGGCGGAGGTCGGATTCGAACCACGGACCTTTCGGTCAGTAAATTCGCGCTCTAACCACTTGGGCCATCTCGCCCCCACTTATTCAAAGTGCACAGTCGAGGCAGAGTGGAGACCGCCGAAGGCTAGTGCTGCCTCATCGTTCCGGTACATGTTCCTTCGTCGAACACACTGTGACCGATAAGAAGGCGTTCCAAAGATGCTTTTTAAAGTGGGAAGCGACGGAAAGGCGTTGGAAGTGATCAGAGAGAAACAACTTAGCAGCCATTGTGACCGTCACATAGCAGCACTGATGCCTGTACACAAGCCGAAGCAGAACGTCCACAGATGTGCGGCAGTCTCGTTCGAACAAATAGCATTTGACGGTGGTCCAGAAAAGCTTAGGAATATGCCTGACAACAGACAGTTATGCAAATGAAGTTGGTTGTTCTTATTTCATCCAATCAGATTGCGCTTAACAACAGGTAACCCTGAGTGCAACCAATTTCTGTTTATATTGACATGCGAACTGACATGAAATAACGGACAGGCATTCACAGGGGAAAGTGTTGGTGAACATTGTTTCACAACCGTTGTAATAAAGGAGGGCGTCAATGTGTGCAGGAGCAGCGAAACTCAAACGAAGCAAACGGATCATCAGCGTCAAGGCTGACAAAACAGAATAAACGGTCGATAAGAACTAAGATCAGTAGTAGCTTCAACTAGTTTCGGATACCGAATAGGGGCTTCGGTAAAACAAGAGAACTGAAAGTAAACAGCAATTTCGAGAACTGGTAACTTCAAGTTTAAACAAGACTGTTCAGCAGTGTGATCTGTGAATATCGCCCTCCACGAGAACAGGGCAAGCGGTGCGCATTAAATCACACTTTGGGGTTGGCTTGATCAAACCAGACTCCATGTGGTGGCACAGAACAAAGTGGGTGAAACGGCAAACAAACCTCTGTTATTCGACGTTTCTTCCCTTTATCAGATAGTATATCGGCACAAATTTGTCGAAGGTCTTCATCGGTGACGGTCAATGGGAGATTGCGTAGACATAAACGCAAATCGCTAATGAAAATATTTGGATTCTTTAGCTTTGCTTTCTTTTCGTGAAGAAGAGCTTCTCGTTTGGCGAGATCTTGCGCAGTCAGTCCCTCCGCGGCTGCCGTGCCAGGACGAATCACTGTGAGAAGGGGGAAGAACGTTTCGGGAAAGATTGAGCAGAAAAGGTGATGAGTCGGGAGCCTGTTTGATGAGTGATAAGAAAAACTAAAAGGGATTCTGGCCTCCCAGACTGTCCCATTTTCTAGTGAACTAAACTTTGGTAGCTGGAACCAACGTACCGTTGGCACATGGTTTACAGCCGGTAAAGTGAACTGAACCGACTCGCCAGACCATTTAGAGGTTCCCAACTTATCAAATTAACGCACACGGCGAAATCTGTTACTTAAAATGACGCGAGCTGATCCGCAGGCAGCCACTTAATGAGTCACAATCTGGATCGAACGCGCACGAGTAAAAATGGAGTATTTAGCAACCTTATGAGTAGTGCATTACGTCCACACAATGTATCGCAACATCTCGAGTATGGTGCCAAATGAAAAACGAGGCAGCACGGTAAAGCACACGCAGTTGATTAAAAACATGATAAACGAGAGATTCAAGCAGGGTTCCAGGCGAGTCTCCTGTAAAAACCAAATTGTATTTCGCTAATAATACATCTCAATTTCCAAGGGGATTTTCGACTGACTATGCCAAATTTTGTGAGATTGTGTCACTATTCGCCATTGACTTTAGACTGCACTACTTGCCGTGAATTGGATTTGAAGGTGAGTGAAGATTACGATGGTGCTCTCAAAAAAACGGGGTCAAAACAAGCAAGAAGAAACGAAGGACTTTAAGAGAGATGATTCAAGTCATCAAGTAACTCGGGTCGTTTACAATGAAGCCAAACTCACTACTTGTGATCAGTAGTGAAGGTATCCGAACAAACTCAGTAGTATGCAGTCATCATGAGAGTGGATACAATGTTTCGGAGTTCAAAAACCCTCCCCCCGTGATGGACTTTGTGAGAAAGACCACCATGTAATCAGTTAGGGCTGTACGTCCTCGCTTCTAAGTTTACATCGAAAAGCAAGATGGGTCCTTAGTCGGAAATGGCCTACTAAATGATGTACCTTTAGGATCCCGAATTCTAGCCACAAGACAAACAGAATGAAACAGCTGACAGCGACGAGGAAAACAGTATTCACCATGAAGTTTCCGTCATGTCCAAACGAAAGATGATCGAGGAAAGTTAGAAATACTTTTTGCTACTGGAACCTGAATAGAAAGATGTCAAAATATCCGAACAGCTCAATACTACCTCAGTGCAATACTAGAGAACAAGGAAGGTCAAACAACAGCGAAAAAGCACCAGATTGTGAGCTTACATCCGACCCGAGCCAGGTGTAAATTCCGTCCCGTCTGATGCAGATGATCGGCTTGGTTCAAAGCCGGTCGGTTTGAGTCGGTAGACTCTGCTGTTGTGTTCTTCGTAGATTTCAGTTGCTGTACCTCTTCTCTGGATATCGCCATGGACAAGTGCATTGTCCGGTTGTCCAGAGTGAAACGAGCTGCATTCTAAATTAGAGAGAAGTTATGATTGTAAAAAGTAGGGGGCGAGAGGAGATGACAGGGTGGATCTTGCTCCAGTAAAAGAGCGTATTAAGAATGGGAGGTGACACCAGAATGCACAGTCACGTGACATGGGGATAAAGAGCGGTTTTAGGGCAACGCTGTCGCTGTCCCACAGGGTCGGCCCTGTGGGAAACTCGCATCTAATGAATTTCCATGATCCTAGTGGAGTAGCCCAGCCGTAGCGCTCTTCGATGAACAAGTATCATGCAACCTGAAGGAATGGGGGTGCCCATATAAGGCTAGATTACCCGGTGGAAAAGTCACGGTTGGGTCCGGATTATCTAGTCAGTAGCTAGGCTCGCGCTTATCCTTGTGGGAAATCTAATTGCTAACAAACTTGTGGGCTGAAAATGCAAGCCAAAGCGCGAATCCCTCTGAAATGTAGTAGGACCGGCCATGTAACGCCTTCCAAAACTGTAAGGGCACACATTCCTTCTTAGTGGGGTGACGCTGATGCGCCATTCTTGGGTGAGACCGTAAGGGAGAAAACAGCGCTGAGTTATTCTTCGGGGGTCCAGAACGTTAAGTCATGTCTGACAGGGAAGGTGGAACCACGGTGCATGACGGCAGAATGCAATGCATTAACTCCCTGGTCCCAAAATACATCTAAAGAACGTGACAAGAAAAAGATATCATTTCGACATCCACCTCCTAAGCAATCGCGCTTTTTCACACCCCAAAAACATCATACGAACGAGCACAGGAATCCGATGAAAGCTTAGAAATTCACCAGCTGCATAAACTAGTCAGTGGAGGACAAGAAGTCGAAACGGTTAACCAAAGTAACACGTTCCCGATCACTCTACGCCCACCTGACGAAACTGAACAGTCCGTGTGGATGAATTTTTCGGCTTCATTGAGATAGATATACAGTGTTGATGATTTAGCTACCCGGTAGAAAATAAAGCTCTTTTGCTGAAGGCTTCAATCACGTCCTCCCTAAACCCGGATAATCTGTGAAGTTGTCTCGAAGTGTCAAAGCGAACCTAAAGCTGTATCATGTGACCTTAACGGTACTAATGTGCATCAAGTCAAGAGTGCCAGTACCGCGAGACCGGAATTTCTTAAACTCGCTTTTGAGTATTGGGTAAAAAATGATCAATCATTCTCGGTGTTCTACAAAGATGGTGGCCATAGTCCAATTCAGGATTTGGTTTTGTTGCCCCGTAATCGAAGCAGGAACCTATGGACATCTACAGTGCGTATGAGCAGGTTGGGATGTATCAAGCAGATGAGCAGCTCGCAAAATTAGGAAGTTGTGATACTCCATGTAATCGGTTAGGCGGTGTACTTAGCGCACTATTCACCAAGACAACAATTTCAATTCGAAAATTGGAATTCGGGGCAGAACGACATGAATGACGAATGGACACAACGTTACGGAAAGAAAACCCCCACTCCGGAGCATTATCTAGCTACAGATTACCTACGACTGTGACGTGAATTCAGGGAGATGGAGTGGTGACAATGGATGGACGACAAGTAGCCGAGTAGCCGAATGAAAGAGTACGGAAATCGGACATTCCGAATCACAGCCTGAAGAATAACTGGGGGAAAGATGGCCGACCGCAAGGTCCGTGGTTCGAACCTGCATCATGACTTCTCCTGTCTAGGCTTGGGAAACCTGACAGTATCCCAGCCCTCGTGCTCTCTTCGGGTGGCATGGCAGCTAGGCACCGAAAGGATGCCATAACTGAACGATTATCATCATTATTAGTATCAGTTTTTAAATCTACAGTTGCTATATATAGCAACTTCCTATCAAGACAGATTAACACGGAGAAATAGATGATCTCTCAACTAGCGACTTTTGTCACCGGTACAGTAATAACCTCAGGAGAGCTATATGGAGAGATGCCACCTCCTTGGGGGTTCTCACCTACTACGTATTACCAACAAATCCCCAACCTACAAGGGATGGTAATCACCTTCGAAGGGATTACTGGAAATATATCCTAACCGGCAACCGATAAAGGTCCAGTTACCAAGAGGGCTGCGATCGCAGTGAGAAAGAATAAAAATCGGCCTGACGACCCCCCCAACCAGCACTGAATAGCTGCTGCGTGCGCGAGTTGATGCGAGATCATGTGACCGGTTAAAGGATGATAAGTGCGCTTCTATAAGGCCGCTAAACAACACTGTCAAACCAGTTAGCTTGTTTAGAAAACGCGATTAAGTTTTACGCAGAGACCGAAAGCGATGTATTGCCAGCCGGAGTGATTTGAGTGCCTAGGTCTGAAAATGGATGGGTAAAAAGTGACAGGGGACTGCTTTCAGAAATCGGAAACCTTACAGGTAAGGCACGACAAAGTGATAGTTTTTCCTGTGAATAACCTTCACCTTTATTGATCAAAAGCCAAGCACTTATCTATTGTATTTGATCCCATACATCACCCAAAGTGTTCAGCTGTAACACCCTATCGGTGCCTAGCAGCCACGCCACCCAAAAAGAAGCACGAGACCTGAGACACTGTCAGGTTGTCCAAAAAAAAACAAAAAAAAGATAATCAGCCAGCTGTAACACCATTTCGGCGCCTAGCTGCCATGCCACGCGAAGGAAGCACGAGGGCTGAGATACTGCTAGGTTGCCCAAGCCTAGACAGGGGAAGTCGAGAGGCAGAGGTCGAGTTCGAACCTCGGACTTCCGGTCAGTGAATTTGCGCTCTAACCAATTAGGCCATCTCACCCCCAGGTTGGGATACTGTCAGGTTGTCCAAGCCTAGATAGGAGCAGTCGAGATGCTGTGGTTGGGTTCGAATCACGGAGCTTTAACCCACGTTAATGCGGTACTTCCTCTCCATATGGGATTTGAGAAGACAAACATGGGTTGTGTTAAAAAGAGGTGAACAGTCACATGGGGGCATTACGGGGAGGTGGAATTAGTACAGAGGCTGTTAGATTAAGGGAGTACTAAGTGCCACGAAGTTGGGTCTGAGAGATCTTCAGTGGGTGTCTCTACCAACTGCCTCATATCTGTTTGTTTGTGTGAGCATGCAAGCCGACCATAAAGTGTCGGTCGACTGATCCTGTAAACGCAAATCAGTCGCTGATTTGTACACTAGCTTGCACGAAACCAATCGCGCTCGGTTTTCAGTGTGAACCTAATTCCTGTCCGGCTGATGTTTATTCTGTCCAAGTGTGCCCCCCTTGTGATGTTGATTAACACAGGCCAGCACTGAGTTGTCAAAGACAGACCTTTGAAGTACAGTAGGGTTTTATCGAAAAGTAACAAGCTGTACCAATCAAAATGAACCTTTTAATCACATACGAAGAAACTTGCCTGGGGTTCACAACTGTCAGCTAGTACGCAAGCGGCATCTACAGCTCGAGTGAACTTGACAAAGCCCGTGCCACGAGAATGCGAGGTAACAGGATCCTTTACCACCTTGGCGAATTCTAGGGCCCCAAAGTCGGCGAAAAAATCATACAGTTTGTCGTTGTCCACATCAAACGATAGATTTCTGAAGAAAGTGAATGGAATGTGGAATAACAACATTCAATAATAGACTAGGACTGATGCATACAGCGTGCCCAACAACAAAGAAGTAGATGCGGACAGAGTTACCAGAGAGAGATCCCTGATAACCAATACGACAAGGATAGAGTAAAACGGACCAGATATGTTCATGAATACTCCCCACTCAACAATAAACAGGGCGAATTCAGCTACCGACCGTCACGTCAGCACCATTATCCCAGCGAATAAGACATCGAAGTTCACACTGTAAAATACGCTCTCCAAATAGTTGCTACTCGATGCTATTGACAGTATCTTAAAGGAAAACCGCTCAAAGCTTGGGGATCTTCAAGAGCACAGTGCATGTATCCGAGCGCAGTCAGTTGCTGAATACATATTCGTTTTCCAGCCCAAATATGGTAACTTGGAGAGTCATCGCGTTAGGAACGCGGAAGGCGGAATGTGCCAAGATCTTCTCACACAACTGGAACTCAGGAACTTGGAAGAGGAGTGTGGTAACATTGTGAGCTCTTAAACGGATTTCTAGTGGCAGCGACTGCTTTAGCATGGACCCGTATTTAGCCTTGTATGAAGTGCATGGTACCTGAATGTTTCAATACAACCCATCTGATGAGCATAGCTCATATGCCATTCGTGAGCCCCAAGGTGATAATAATTGTAGCGTGAAGCACGCGCACTAAGAGGCCTAGAAATAAGGTGGGCTTTATTAGCCTCTGACATTTTGACCGTCACGAGTTTAGCCTTGCTACCACTCATTAGTACATCGGTTAGCTGTTTGCCGCATTGCTCACCAATCTGCTGCTTTGCTTCGCAGCCGTGATGTCTCAAGTGTGAACTGAACGATGTATGACTTGTAGAGGTTGAAGATCGCCGACCCAACCGCACTTTGGTCAATTTCTGTCCGTTATAAAAGCACCTGTTTATCGAGAAATACACTCATTTGCAAATCCATTTAGTTTTCACGAGACTCAACTGAATCTTTCGTTTATGATAGTCTACAACTGAATGTACTGCACACAGTCCAATTTGGGTTCAAGTAGAACATAAGATTGACGGAAACTCGGGGATTGCGCCTACCTGATGAGCCCCAAGAAGGGCGAAACCTTGCCAATCCAGGGCGAGATGGCACAAGTGGTTGGAGCGCAAATTTACTGACCGCAAGGTCCGCGGTTCGAACCCGACCTCTGTCTCTCGACTTCCTCTGTCTAGGTTGGGCAACCTGGCAGTATCCCAGCCCTTATGCCTCCTTCATGTGGCATGGCAATTAGGTAGAGTTTTCAGCAACCTTGTGAGTAGTCTCCTGTTTATCGCGATATGAAGTTGAGTTGGGCGATATATATCGTGACAGAGACCAGGGAGATTCAGCCAAAATGACGCAAATTTGGTGCCGTTTTGCCCAGATTGGAACACGGGTGGTGGGTAGGGATGTTGTAACACCCAGTAGCCACTACATCCCCTCATTTATTGTTGATAATGATAGTAACAAAGTGATTTTACAAAGCGTGTCCACACAACGTCTACAATATTTGCATTTGAGAGATGTTATGGACATTGAGCTACGGCAGTGATTTATGGGGCGAGATGGCACAAGTGGTTAGAGCGCGAACTTACTGACCGCAAGGTCCGCGGTTCGAACCCGACCTCTGTCTCTCGACTTCCTCTGTCTAGGTTGGGCAACCTGGCAGTATCCCAGCCCTTATGCCTCCTTCATGTGGCATGGCAATTAGGTAGCGGAAGGGTGCTACAGCTGAGCGATTATTTATTATTATGAAACTTGCCGTTTGAACAGTTCATTAGGTATAATGACCATTGAGAAGCATAGAAAGCTGAGTCATTCACATGACTGAGTTCACGAAGGCCACATACATTCAAACTAAATGGTTCGGGGGGCGAAATCGTGCACTTTGGTAAGAAAGGATAAAAAACGTCGTAGTCCCTATGTAAGCGCAGTGAAACCCCAGTTAACAGAGTCCCAATCGTGAACAAAAACTTTTTTTTAGAACATATGCGTTTATCCTTTAACTCTAGGTAAACAACGATGCAATCGGATAAGAAATTGGCGAAACAGCGAATTAAGGGGACTGAACAAATATGGTCACCATTTGGAGGATGGTCACGGGGGAAATTCTATTTGTGTTGCCCATGTATCCACATAGTAGTAGCTCGGGTGCGTTTGCTGGTATTTGATCAGGTGACCGTTGATCTGTTCGCCGAGCTTAACTCGCAAACGTTTCGATTTGCAGTCGGGGAGATGCTGTCGGTGCAAAGCTGAGTGCGTGCTGACTGGAAACAAAACGTTTTCAAGCCAGTTGCCAAGCTTAACGAACAGATCAACGGTCACTTGGTCAATCAGCAATTTTAACTGCGTTGTGGTGCAAAAAACGAGTGGTATCATCCCCCTCATAGCACAAAACTACTATGTGTTGGCGTGAGTAATAGGTCGAAAATGAGCTTGGTCAAAGTGGCGTCGACTAGAGAATCCCAAGTTGAGATGGATATATCGGGTGGGGTTTGGACAGCGTGCATGCCACATCCAACGTCATACGTTTGATTTTATCAGCTGAATGTGTTTGGAATATACTCAACATATGGCGACTGAAAAAAACTGACACCAAAGACCGTCAAATGCGTTGATAGAAAGGAAGGAGCGCCAGGCAGATGCAGAGTGAAAAATTGCAGCAAGAACTGACGGTAATTATCTCTTCACGTTCCGTAGCTCTATGGCATGCAGCCAGGGATCAAACAGGACCCTAAAATCATAGATTTGTTAAAGAAACAGAGGACCATATTTGTTGGGGTTATCAATATCCCCAAAAAAACGCTGTATTTTTATGTGTGCTAGGAGACTGGATCAAGCAACATAGCTGGGGATAGATTATTGCCACAATCCGCATATCATATTGTTTGCTCGCTGCGTGACCGAACCGTAACAATATTCCGGAGGAAAGATACCAGCTGGTCTCTTATACTTACCTCCCGATGAGACACCTCTAGGAGTTCAATGTGGCTATCCACCAAGGTGATGTAAATAAATTGAATGCATCGCGTTCTATGATAGTCGGGCGAGATGGCCCAAGTGGTTAGAGCGCGAATTTACTGACCGGAAGGTCCGTGGTTCGAATCCGACCTCCGCCACTCGACTTCCCCTGTCTAGGCTGGGGCAACCTGGCAGTATCTCAGCCCTCGTGCTTCCTTCGGATGGCATGGCAGCTAGGCACCGGAAGGGTGCTACAGCTGAACGCTTTCTTTCTATGATAGTCACCACGACTCAGTATCACTTGATTAGTTTGGTGGTATACACCTTGGCTTCGCAAAACCTAATTCGAGAACGAGGGAAGTCACTCAACCGAACCACCATCTCGATCTAACAACTACTCTTCATGCAGTTGCTGGTGAGCTAAGGGTGTCAGGCTACTCTCACCTGACAAACTTCACTTTCGAGGATGTTACGATGAAGCTACATGGCAGTTACAGAAGGGCAGATAAAGATGATCATTCAGCTGTGACACACTTTCGGGGCCTAGTTGCCATACCACCCACAGGGAGCACGAGGACTAGGATACTGCCAGGTTGCCCAACCCCAGACAGATGAAGCCGAGAGGCAGAGGTCGGGTTCGAACCACGACTTTCGCGCTAACTAATTGAGCCATCTTCATGAGGGCGATTTATCTCATCTATCCAAGTGGGATTCGTCGAATAACTAGCACTAAGCCACACAGGCTGAGTTTCCTTACTAGTATCAGTCAGACCCATGTTCTGGTTCGAATGAAGGAGCGATATGCATTTGATACATCAAATGCGTATGATGATAATGTATCGTACAGAAACTTTCAGTATGGCTAAAGGTAGCAAGTGCTAACCCAAGTGTCAGCAACATGTGAAAAAAAGATACCAAACTAAGTGGCGTGCAATCAATGCTTATTAGCTTATTGGGATACCGGTGTGATTCGAACAAGAAGCGTTTTTCCGGAGTTATTTTCAATCGGAAGGGTATGAAATTTCAGTCAAAAGATAACAGTATATTATGAACATCAATCACTGGGTCTTGTCTGCCCACCAGTTGTTCAGAACAGGTCTCTCTTCAAACCAACCAGCAAAGAAGTACTAGCGTCTGAAGATCAATGAAGATGATGCACTGCCTCAATGTCCGGCAGCTTAGTTATTCTAGTTGCACGTCATTTGCCCTTAGTCAACCTCTATGTTCGGAAATTATTCTAGCTATAACAATCTTACGGTGCCAAGCTGCCGAACCATCCGAAGGAAGTACGAGGGCTGAGCTACTGTCAGGTTTCCCAAGCCTAGACAGAAGCAGTCGAGATGAGAGGGTCGGGTTCGAGCTACGGACCTTCCGGTTAGTACATTCACTCATTAACTACTAAGTTACCTCGAGCGCTATGTGTCCCGAAGTAGCCCTCGTTCCATTTTGATGCACCAATTTGCTTCAGACTGGCATACAACACAAACAAACAACACAAAATACTTTAAAGAGCCAGCCGAGAATCTTACCTGACGAAAATCGTACGGCCTTCATGCGTATCTGACGGCATGCGTAGTTTATGTGTTTCCCCTGTTTGGATGTCTCAACTCAACTTTTGCGCCGGGTGAGGTCAGGTCAATCTCTGAAAAGAAGACGGAGATCTAGGGAAGCACGCAAGGATTCAAAGAGAATAACCTGGAAGAAAAGCAAGAGGTGATCTCAAGAGTGAAGTTCAGGAAACAACTGATGCTTACAGTTTCATGATTAAATGTCAGTAGAAATTAGTGTTTGAAACATAGTGAATAACTGGTCGACACATCTTCTGGATGTTATACTGAGTACGCATACATCTTTCACCTGCAGAGCGACTGAGTAGAAGCAAGACGAACACCTGGGAAGCCGTGTCCGTCAAGCTAGTACCTTGCTTTATTCGGGTGGCATGGTAGCTAGGCACCGAAAGGGTGTTACAACCAAACGACTGTGAAAGTTGTTACCCACCAACCTGTTGAATTTTTAGGAATGGTGGTAAAATAGAAGTGCCTCAATCAACGAGAAATAATCGTGTCCTGTATATGTAGTTCCGGCGGTACCGGTGCACACGTTTAATACATTCCGCGTGGAATGTTGTCTTCGGTAGGGGGTCTTTTAACAATGCTAATGGTTGTCGTTTGACGCATTAGCCCAGAGGAATCTCAATAAGTAACTTGCTTCGTCGGAGCACCGAATTTCGTGTTAAATGGCACTGGTTCTGAAGACCCGATGGACCAGGCGAAAAGGCACGGGTTTGTGAGATATGCAAATAAGATAGACGGAGTCAGGTTAACATCAGTCAGTAAAAAACAGCAGTGTGTGACTCTGACCCAAATCTGACGAATCCTTCGGTCAAAAACACCTGTGGTCTTTCGGATCGCGTCTTGGGGACAGCGAGTTCACCAATATCGACGGTTTGTTATCTCAACTTTTAATACACCAATTTTATTTCTTTCGTTGCCCCCCTTCCCCGCAAAAAATTTCATCCACCAAGATCACGCCGAAGTAAACAACGCATGTCCAGAAAGCTCGTTAGGATGTACGTTTGGGATGTGTCCAGGCCAACGCAGATCCCATTCAGTAATAACCACATCGTCTTGTTATTGGGTAATGACCAGTTGACGTACACAGAGTACTAGTCCAACGTGGCTGTCACCAAACGTGAGAGATGCCCCATGAATACAACGGCCAAATGCCAACGGAGTTCGAGTATCCACAACGCATACAGTCCAGATTTTGTATCGATAAAGAATTACGGCACGAAATAAAGTGCTATACGCCTGTCGTCTTATTGCTTCTGAATGTCACTTTACTAGCTGTCACCTCAAAAGGGACGAGGATGTCAACTGATATACAGCTCCACAGTGGTAAGACGATTGGTTCACTGATAAGAATGTTTGTGCTTTCAGTCTCTCAGGTCTTCTATGATTACACATCGTGATGAGCAGTTTCCACGGACTTACAAAACAGCAACTACATTTCTACCACCATTGGTTTAACGTTATCTCAACCAGACAAAACGAAGAATATCAAGAGAGTAAGGATGAATCCAAAGAGGGGCTTTGAGTGCCAAGATGCGTCAATCAACATTTGGGAATAGTTCTGGGATTCGTTCCCGAACAGCCTCAATTTTTACAATTGGTCAACTCCGGGTCCTAGAGTTATGTTGAGAAATCTGGATTCCATGTGTTGTGTCTAACTCAGTTCGAAGCCTCTGGAGTAACAGAAAATAGACTGGTTGTGTGCCTGTAAATGGCTTGTTGTCCCGCTTGCTTCAGAGTGCGAACATTGAACGCGGCCAGATAGAGTGGGTGTCGAGGCTTGAGGACTGATTTGGAGATCCCTGAAGATGTCGGCACCATGTGACGAGCAGATGCTGCACGCAAAACCGATGCATGACGAACGGAGTCAGCAGTCCTAAGTGCTGGGCCTATAGGGAGAGAGTTATTAATGGGGTGGAGAGAGGGGGAAGAAAAAGTATGTGAAGGAGAAAGAAGGGAGGCATCAGCAGTAGCCTGTTTTCGCTTACCCGCCCTGCTGTATGCAGCAAGTAAGGCGACCCGGCTGATGGCACCACGCGACGGCCGATGTGGCATGAGAATATTGTTAGTTGTGTAGGTCATGGTTGTACGAGGGCTGGGATACTGCCAGGGCGCCCACACCTAGACAGGAGGACGATTAGGGTCCTCAACCAAAGCCTTTGGCTCAAAAGCCTAACCGCAAGGCAGCGGTGTTTGGCGGGAAATGCAAATGCATTACCATTTCTACGGAACAAGTCGCCACATGTTCCAACCCCCAACCTGGAGGGCCAGGAGACTGTGTTCGTCAGACCTCTAACCATTGACCAACCTGGTATGAGAGACTCTGTGAGTGTCGCGGGACACTCTCCAGTATAGCTCAATGGATCGCTGAGGTGCGCAAACCGTCACACCACGGTAAGGTCCAGTCTCTCCATGCTCTGGCCTAGTTCAATGTCCTCTTAATTCCACGAAGTGGTCTACTGTTCGTATGGCAAAGATTTTAGCTTCAATGTGCGTCAGGCTGATACCCAGAAACTGTTTTGAGTGTAAGGGTGTCCATCGTTGAACAAAAGAGTTCGTGAAGGTTTGAAATAGCGCAGGGAAAGCGGGTTATGGATTTTAGCTAGAATACAGTATTCACTTGAAATCCTTTTGTTGTTTAAGGTTATGACTATTTCAGTTAGTTCACCACAACCAGGAGCAGTAAAATATGTCGTTTGTTTGGTGGACTAGGAGGTAACGAAAGGAAACACTTATTTCACTTTTATCTCTCCTTGATCGTGGAAATCATCAATACTGTCTTGTTGGCCTGAGGCACGACTACTCAACCAGAAAGACTGCAACATATACCTGACATTTTCAATTGCTTCCAGTTATCCATAAATATCTTCGAACTAAGTGAATGGCTTGACAGCGCAGGCTTCAGAAGCGTCGATCTTAAGTGCGTGAATAGTTATCTTAGTTCATACCACGTGGTTTAGTCTCAAGAAAATCATCTCAGTACTGCCACCCCCTTCATGCAACTTTTAACATCGCCATGGATTACATGGTTTCAACACGTTAGTGCTCTCGGCGGTGCAGCGTGAGCGGCAATAAACTGCCGTGCGATACACCAACACGCCATATTCATGGAAAGTATGGTCTCTGCCATCAATGTGAAAATGATAAGCTTGCTATGTTGGGTTCAATCGGTTGTTCATCACCAAGATAAGCTTCGAACACCATTTGATGTACCCGTTAACTTAGCATTCAAGTGGCGGCCAAATAACTTAAGAGAACGACCGCATCCTAGTGAGATGTGGATGGGTCCCATTCCTAGAGTATTCACTCCATTAAACAAGCGGAAGCACGGATCACACCGTATTCTCTCGCTCGCGTACGAGCAAAGCTTAGGCTCTGCCCGGTTGGGAAATGTGCTGGCTTCCTTCTCGAGCACCTGAATACGCATTAATCTTTATCTGGCACCATGCGCGAAGAACTGAAAGTACATACATTCGAGTGCACGCAGTTGGTGCGACCCACGATGCTTCCGTAATCCACTCAGAAAATGTACTACATCAATAGAAAAAGTGGATCTCAGTGCCACTTCGCCGCTGTCAATCCAGGTTGAGATGAGGTTGACAAACGCGCCAACATCAGTTGGCGATCAGTAATGAAGTTGCGTCAAGTGCTGGCGACTATGCGAAGCTGTCTGCAGCCAAATGACCATGGAAGACAACTATACGCCCAGTCAATTGTATCTGGTTAATTCATCCCCAACACCAGCGAGAAATCGTCCGGGCATACGAGATGTTTTTAAAGTCAAAATGTGTCCCTTCTGACCGCTGATCTTCCAATATCGTCGTGCGACGCTGACGGTGGCCCTCAAAAGAAAGAACTAAGCAAAATCAACAGTCGGGTGAAAAGCCCTAAGGCTCCTGGTGAGCTCAAAATGCCTGTAGAGGTGTACAGATGAGATCGAAGGATTGTTCAGCTATGGAACCCTTTCGATACCCAGCTTTCATGCCACCAGAGAGAAGCACGACGGCTGGGATACCGCCAGGTTGTCCAAGCCTAAACAGGGGAAATCGAGAGGCAGTGGTCGGGTTCGAACCACGAACCTTCTGTCATTTTACGCGTCACCCCGTGAGCTATTCACTTCAACCTGAGAAAACCAAGTATTTCCAGCCAATCGGGGCATCTCTAGTCTCCTATCCTTCCACATAAGAAGCGACAAACCTGTTTGTGACTACTGTCGTGCCATAAGCTTCATGAATGTAGCTAATAAACTATTTACCTTCATCTATGAATTATTTCGCCATCGAAATCAAAACTGAGAAGCGTTTCACTGTCATGTGATGTCTTTTCCTAAGTTCGTGAACAAAAGTTAGTCCTTAACTTTGCTTACTAATTCATTTTGAAGGGATTTGATGATCCTATTCAAAAATTTTGAAAGCTTGTGTGAATACAGTCTGCTGGGCACCCTTTTGAGTTTTTCGGTAGGCCGTAAGATCATGTTCGCTTTTGCACTAGGCGAACATTCGCCCCGTTGAGCACATTTGACGTTTTCCGGCATGCGTTTGTAAACTCCATTGCTAAAACCTCCTCATATCGGCTTGTGTGATATGGGCAGATTGAAGTACTCGATGTTCCACGGTACTGAGATTTGTTTGTGTCGGCCTTTGTCGTTGCATAAAAATTTGCAATTCTGAATTTGACGTCAGTCGCAGATGCTGTTGACAAGTTCCCAGGTGTCCGCTTAGTGTTAAGCATAACATTCTGTGCTTTTGGCGACTTTCGTTGGCATCGAAGTTCAGTCTCTCTCGACGCAGTAGGACTTCGGACCGAAAGCTCCCGCCTCGAAATGGTGAGCCTGAGTGCTGCAATGGTACCACAGGCTACACCACCGGAACTCAATTCCCAAAGCTGCGACCACGACAGGAAGGCCAAAGGGGTGCAGTCAAAGGAAGAGCAGCGAGAGCACGTACTACGAGTAACCATGTTACGAAGCGGTCTCGGATAAAGTCATGCCACTCTGTGACGGAAATGTGAAGTTAGTAAGATTTTTCCTCGGGTAAACGTCATGTTCACATATGGAAAAGCACTGTTGCCTTCTTTCGAAGGACAGGTTGGGAAAG